AAATCAGTTCTTCGTGTTGAATCTGCAAGCATGTTATATGATTTGAAATGATTTCGCGCCAATACTGGCGCCAGTACAGCTAGCCTCGCTCCACCTCAAGGGGAACTCGGGCGATGTCCGCATCCCGGGCAAGCGTCGGCGGTAACGACCCCTTCTATCAGGACGAGAATAAGACAAATAGGTCGATAATTGTGAAGATAGCCAATGCTGGAAGCGGAGTCCGACCGTCGCCAAGGCCGGAAGTTCAGCCACCTCCCACAACTCCTTCATTCCTTGACCTGATCATTGTACTGGGCTATCTACTGCTATTCTTCCAAAAGAGGCCATGTCACTTCATGTGTTGCAAGCCTAACCCCCATAGCTGTGCCTGCCTTTGTCATCGTTCATGAATGCGCGCACTTGGGAAAGCGTACTATGTATTTCGATTACAATCAGCAGAGCCATGTGACGATGAGCCGGATTTTGCTACCCTGTGTAACCGCTTAATGTCACCGCACGTTCGTAGCTCACGTAGCCAATCGTGCATCTAGAGAGCATTCTTATATGGACATATTCTGCATATCTTGAAACTATACACATTGCCAGCTATCGGCTTGAGTAGGATCACCCTCACCCTTGAACACATTCCGAGCTGGGTACTTGCAATGTCTCCTCTGCAAATCGACATCCCCAGCTTCGGTCAGCCGGCTACCGAGAATGTAATCAGGTGCAACCCCTTCTTCGACCCATCTGACGATCGCAGCCAGCACATTCGAATCGGGCTCGTACGACGCCAAAGTCTCCGGGTTGCCCCCAATCATGCTAGCGCCATCTCCATCGCGGCAATGCGCCATGCCCGAGATCCTGAAATACCGATAGAATTCGTCCAACTCTGACGAAGGAAGCCCCATAGTTCGAGACACATAGTCGTAGTACCTTTCAGAGTTGTCGCTGCTGATCGCATTGTCTTGCAGGCCGTGGTAATGCAAAATCTTCACCCCCTGGTCTCTCGCCGCCGACAGGTCGCCTTGCCAGGTGGAGACACCCCACGGATCCTGCTTAGACGCTATCTCGTAGTCTTCCGGGCCCATCGTAGAAAGATCCCATTCGGTGTTGTTGTAGACGACGTATCGCCACCAATCCAAGGGGTATTGGTGAGGCTCTCCGTTGAGCAGTCTGGCGGTGGCATTTGCTCCCGGCTGGAGGCGAGGGTAGATGTACCTTCCATTCGCACCGTAGACTGGGCTGAAGATAGCACGAACGGTAGCAGCCTGCTCACCAGTCAAGCATCCCTCCGATGTGTCATCAGCACAGATGAGTCCTTCGGGTCGATACTGGCAAAGATTCGGGTCTTCCAACAGGCCATCCTCAAGACCATCCAAGCCATCACACTGCTTCAAAATGTCCGCATAGACGAGATCCCACTCAGCTGGTGCGAGAAAAGTCGAAGACTCATTCGCCCCTGTCTTGATGAACAGCTGCCCGGTCCAGTACATCAACGCGATGAGGTCAAAAGCCGGCGCACCAGCGACAATGCCGTCGTAGTCCTCCGGGAAGGACTGGGCCTCCTTGAAGCCTTGCCTGCCACCAGTGGAACAGCCAAGGTAGTAAGATTTGGTGTGTTTCTTTCCGTAGAACTCTTCGGCAATCGACTTTCCGAGCTCGGCCTCGAGATGCACGGCGCGGTAGACGTAATCCTCAATTACTCCAGGGTTCTCAAAGAACGGAGCCCCAGAGATTCCGTCGTGGCCGTTGTTGGTCCCTATGGTCGCGAACTGGTGCGAAGCTCCGTAGTTGAGGTCACCATATTTGATGCAGCCGTTCATGCCTCCATTTCCGGTTCCCAAGAATCGCCCACTCCAGTCAAGCGGGAGCCATGCTTCCATTGAGATGTTGCTGCGCGGCCCGGTTGTTGCCAGGAGTACCACCCGACAGATGTCGACATCTGAGACTTGGTAGGGAATCGCACATGATGGGTGATTGTTTGGAAGAGAGATGTTTGTTCCGGCTGAGATGAAGGTTGTCTCATGGATTGCGGTGTCCGGGAGGTTGAGACGGGTTGCCAAGGATTCGCAATCCGTAGCACTGGCGCCATAGACACTACCAAAGCCAACCAGACTTGGAAGAAGTAAGCGACGGGCGTTCCCCATAGTTGGAATGATTGCTCAGAAGATTTCTTGGCGTAGATCTGCACATTACAGTAAATCTTGTAAACACTCACCTGCTATTTATTCCAAGCAATGGTAACTGCACCGCCATCTTGATTTACCGCGATCTGCTACCGGTGCTTATCCGTGACTTTTCATGAAATCCGCAATTGTGCTTGAGGCCCGACTATTGATAAAAGGACCCCGCAGGCGGATTAAGACGTGGTTGGTCCTTTGGACTTGGCAAGACTATCCTACGCTGGCCTCTGCTGAAAATGACTAGCAAGTCGTTGGGGTAGAGTCGATCACCTGCCCAAGCAGGTCTAGGAGAGTCTGGGGTAAGTATGCGGGGACCGTTGCTTCTTCAGAGGGGCTCTGCCAGATTGATGGGTGCGCACGCGGGATAGAACATCGTGGGAGATGGCGATGTGCAATTTTTGGGACTCCGGTAGTTTTCGGCTAATTATCGGCACCGGAGCCGAGGTCGGTTGTTCGCGACCGGAGGGGTGTCGGGAATGCTGAGGAGGCCGAGTTGGCGGACATGGGTTACTCCGTCACGTCATTCAGGTGAGAGTGGCCGGGCTCTGTCAGTGTAACCGGGATTGCTTATCCGTTGAGTATCCTCAGCAATTAATAAGACGGCTGAGCAAATTTCCTTGATGGAGCAATCAAGAACATTCTGGCGTTGAATTCCTTAGGCGCAAAGACCGACCATGTTCTCATATTAAAAAGTTATGTGCTAAAGTCTCAAGCAAAATTCAAAGTCCAGTCCTTTGACAACAGCAACTCTGGCCAAGAAATTGGGTTGCCGTTGTCGCGCAAGTTCCAAAGCTCCTGCAAAAACTCAATAGCCCATAGATTGACTGCGATTCGATTGGTCGAGTATAAAGCCTTGAACCTCTCGACAACCTGGACTCGTACAATGGTGTCGTTGTGCTGAAGTTGAGCACCTGCCGTTAGAAGAGGCATTGAGTGAAAGTTAATGCATGCCGCATCAATAGGCGTTTCCAACAGTCTTTCAAGACTATCAAAAGCAAGAGATCTGATAGCATGTCGAGTACGTGAATCGTTCCTAGTTGCAAGGCCACGATATACGCCATTCGTCTGTGGTTGATCGCGTCTTCCGCAAATTTCAAAGAGCATAATGAGGCCATGATTTCGATATGCAAGACTCATTTCCACCAATGTTCTGTCACTGTGTCTGGGTTTCCAGGCGAGAAGGGTCCTTTCGAAATATGCCTCGAGATCCGGATCGACAGCACCAGTTTGTACCACTACTCGGCAGTGGCGGCCTACAGACGCAAGATGATAGAATAGCACAGACGAAATTCCAGTCATCGAGTGAAACTCTTGGCTACTCTCAACAGCTTGCAAAATGCTTCTTTCGGCTTGAGCAGAGAACTTGTAGTCGCCAGGGTCTGCAACGAAGGCACAAGTCATATCCCAGTAGAGGTACCACCCAAGTATGTATTGAACCATTGGATCGTGTCGCCTCTCTTCTTCCATGAGTAGTCTTTCCAATAGTGTACGAGCACCTGACATGTGCTCTTTTCCGTAGCAAAGGGGCTTGTCCTCTGTCCAAGACGCGGATACGCCAAGGAGAAAAACACTCAGCACTGTTGCGGGCTTGATCTGATCAGGCTTCTGTAGTTCCTTTCGTAGAGACTGGATTGCGAGGTCCCTCTGTTGAAGACACGTCTCTAGCGCATTCTGGTAGAAAAAACCCTCCTGACCTGCACCGATAGTTTGAACGGCATGAACTAGAGAGGGCGTGTAGAGAAGGTGCTCAACCAATGGAAAGGATAGTGGGTTGTCTTCTGGCGTAACTGTCATCATTCGGCTTGTGTTTTCCAGCCAGTAGTTCATGAGCTTTTTGTTAGGTTGCACAGCGCCGGGCCAGGGCTCTGCTGGTCGTCTTATCAGTGTCCAGGGGATTTCAGTCTGCCATGGCATAGCGGGCGGAGTGACAGACAGGCATAGGGTGCCCCGTCGTTGGCAGCGCAGACAAACCGGAAAGGTTTCGTCGCACTTTAATCGTCGCAGCTTGCATTCTTTGCAGCCGCGTCTGCTCTTAGTCGCTTTCGCCTTGTCGCTATGAGTTGGGCGATGGGATGGTGGATTGCTCAATGAAGGCTCGAAGCCGTCGGCTTCGGGGATTTCACAAAGTGGGTATAATTGCGCCTCTGCGAAAGGGACTCGGTACGTGCCAGACATGTTGTAGGGACAATTAAGAGGACAACTTTCGGCAGGTGAAGTTTGGAAGTGAAAAATTGTCGTCAACCACGACAATCCAAAGAAAGCTCGTGCAGTTTGAGTCACCGTGCGCCCATGAGAAACCCCTTATCTCTGGACGTGATTTCCTGTTAGTAGAAACCGGACCTGACTCAGTATTTTCGATGTAAAATCATGTCATTTTGGAGCAGTCTTGAACTCTACCCTTTTGGGTCTGTAATACCGTCATCCCTGCAAGTTTTCGGCGCTTGGACGTTACCGGTGTAAGTCAAAAGTCTACTGAAGGTCTACAGCAGTCAGTTCATCATGATCAAAACTTGCGCGTGTGTTTCCCGCGATAAAGATGGTGGGATTTTGAAAATCCCGCCAGCCTTCTCATCCCTTCGTGTGACGCTGCTGTCTTACATTTCTGACCATCCTCGCTATCAGCCGTCCCTAAAAAAAGATCCGGCTCGGGGAGATCAGCGTTTAATTTGATCGCTTATCGCCTGCGCCGCAGGGATGCATGCCGCCGCCGGCATTAAGGTCTAGGCAACCATTCTCGATTGAACATATTATGCCCTCAACATCTCATTGTAAAATGAACTTTCAGCTACCGTAGTTAATCAAATTTAACGCGATTGAGTCCACACCAATATCACAATGCCTCCTACGTCGCGAGCAAACAACGACAAACTGTCCATCGAACTCCTCGACCCCAGCGTACCGTCTTTTCCAGGCAGTGTCATTCGCGGGCACATCGTACGAAAAGCTCCTTTGGACGCACCCTCAGCCACTGTTCGCGCACGCCTCCAAGGCCGCGCCAAAGCAAAATTGGTCTCTGATAACGGAAATTCCAAGAGCACCTACCGCAGCCGCTTCCCATTCTGGGACGAGTCCGACGTTTCTGACATCGTACATGAAGGCGCCATCGACACAGGCGCCGAAGAAAGCCTGACCTGGCCATTTTCGCTGAAGATACCAACAGATGTCAGCGAGAAGGCCGTGAACAGGGGGTTGAAAGACAAGGAAAAGAGAGACTACTTTATCAAAGCGCCACTCAAGACCGATGGCGCGGCGGAGATTCCTGGACAACCGCTGCCGGGAACTTTTCACTACAGCAACAGCGGCTTCAGCAAGAAGTGGCACGGCTATGTCGAGTTCTGGATCGAAGCAACGATCACCGTCAAGAGTACCAAAGAGAGGGTGGGAAAGACTTTCCAGGCGACACTGCCAATCAGAGTCAACTCGAAGCCACCTCCTTGGCCGCCCATTAGCGACTTTGAGTTGACCACGCGCAAGTGCCCAGGTTGCGTGAGCAGCCATCGGTTGGTTCCAGGCATGAAACAAGCAGAACTATCTTTCAAGCAGAAGACTCGGAAATTCTTTGGTTCGTCAAAGGTGCCATCGCTCAATTACGCGGTCGAGATGAAGTGCCCGGCAGTCATTCAGCTTGGCAATCCTTCAACTATTCCCTTCACACTAAGCGCCATCCCCAACTGGGAGAAGACCTCCGAGGTGATCGTAAACGTCCCACAAGTCATGACGATCAAGAGTGTCACGGTGGAAGTTGAGACAACAACAAGCATTATCTGTCCCGGTACACTCGACACGCATTCGGCTGATAAATCGTGGAAGATGTTGTTGGCGAAGACGAGCCAGGATGTTAACCCGGTTGATGGAAGTTTGACATTGACGTGTGGGTCTAACGAGAAGCCTCTCGACTTGGGCGCTGTTCTTGGGGTGAAGCTGGATGTCCTCGGCCGAGTGATTGATGCTCATACCGGAAGGTTTGCCAGCCCGGCGGGTCTGAAGATCGAGCCATCGTGTCTGACATACTGCATGAAGGTGGAGCACATGCTTCTGTGGGAGATCAAGTTTGTGGTAGGAGGAGAATCATGGGGATGTTCAGGGAAGCAAAAGCTTCGTGTACTTCCGCAGAGTCTCGGTCTCACCGTTGGTGACAATGGGGAGATTGTCCTGAAGGGGGAGAATTCTATGGCAGAGGACGCTCTGTCTTTCTTAGCGACTGGAGTTGACATTGCTTCATCATCGTTAGACGCATATGGAGCCATCTCAGACTTGATCGAGTTGTTGGGTGGCTGAAAGTGATAGGATGTATGTGATGGACATATACACTGGGACCGAGCACACGAGGGAAGAGGCGGTGATTCGGACAAGCTACAAACCTGTATGGATAAGCATTATTCAATTGTTCCTGGAAACAAAATTAGCAACAATAATTTCAGTCCAAGTGTGTTCACAATGTGAGGTGACCAAACGTTTCACCGGAATATAAGATTACCCTTAGCATATCCTAAGCAGGCTGCCGGGTGAGCCTTCTAATTGTCTTCCGATGAGTGAGTAGGAACACCACTTTCGCCGAAACAAAAAGGGGCATGAAAGCTTTTTAAGCTGAAGAACAACCCACAGAAGCAGTACGAAGTCATACCGACCGAATTAAGCTAGGTTCGAAGGTGAGATCAGGGTACATAGCGATCTCACAGACAGGCAACATCAACCAACTGCGGCCAGAGCCGGAGCCGGACTAGCACCCGGACCCGGGCCGTCCGCCCCCACAAGACCCCTGGTCGCTTATCTAAACCCTCAGAATGGTTGGCGCGGGGTTCCTTAAGTGATATGCCCCCGCCCCTCACGATTCTGACCGTTCAAGCCCGACCGCCAAGCCAAACGCCAAGATGGAGACCGTTCCGAACCCCCGAGACCTCCCGCCGGACCCTCGTCTCCCGGGCGAACAGCCCCGATACTCGCGCGACAACATTGTCACCACTTTACTATCTTTCTACGAGAGTTTGCCTCATGTCGACCCTTCCCTCATCCGACGAGCCCCGCCAGGGGGCTGGACCGAGATTACCCCTGAGTCTCTTGCTGCCGCCAAGATGCGCCCAGCTGAACGAGTCATCGACTTGATCCGTCACCTCCCATATATCGATGGCGAGCCTCAATCGCCCTGGATCACGCCCGAAACTTTCCCTATCAACTACCACAGCGTCGTGACCAAGGCGACAGCAGGGGCCTTCGTGCCGGGGTGGATGAAAACGCTGGGACACGACCATTTTCATGAGTTTCCGCCGTGGGTTTTTCAACTTACCACGAGTGTTGATCGAGACGGTGACATCTGGCTTCTGGATACCATGGACGGAACTGTGACCAAGTATATCATCACTGGGGCTGTTTATCCAGAACTAGTGGGAAGGTATCAACAAAACGATCCACGAATGTGGAGGCAAGTGTATTGTGATGAAGACACCCTCAATCTGAAGAAGTGGCTAGATGGCGTATTAGAGAAGTACAAGACCCTTCAGTGGTTTGGCATACCTCGCGCACAGCACCCGGGAGTTTTCGGACCGAGAGAATATGATGATGAAGAGTCCGAGAGCTACAAACAGGTTGAAGTAAGTCGCAATTCACCCAAAAGACTGTGCATTAACCTTACTGATTCTTTTAACTCAGGAACTTAAGAGAATTTATGCACAGCATGGTTGGCCCGATCGTTACAACGGCGACGATTGCCGCCAAAGATTGCTTGAATGGGCAGCTAAAGCCAAGGAATAGCACCAACTGCGTCCAGTGTCATGGATAGCCTCGCCGATTGTCAAACAATACAGTAATGAAACGAAGATACAGACAGATATGTACATACTATGTGGTTAACGAATCATCTTAAATATCCGCGCATCAAGACGCTATCTGTTTCGGCATCTCAGAATCAACAGACCGCCCTGCTTAGCTTGAAGACAAAGATGCGGTCCAGTGTGGTGGGCCGATGAATATTAATGTGTTAGCATCAAGGTTACTACCACTGACCCGACGCAAGATGGCATCAACTCAAACTGCGCGAGGTACCAAAGCACTCTCTGGGGCAACTTGCACCACTTTTGCAAGCTCCAATAATACCTACAGACAGGTAGCTGTACTTAAGCTTGGAATCCTGTGCTGGGGACGAAGTGTTAGAATTGCTTTTCCTCGACGTGCGTAGATGAGTACTGCCGCATTAGTAGTTGATAGTGAATTATCCTAGTCGGTCTCGACGAAGAAGGGCTAGCTTGATGGCGCTTCATCAACTGCAAAATATGCATGTCTTTTCAATTTTTGACTAAAACGTTGGGTGTAACATGGCACCCTGTGCCTACTGCAATGGCCGAGCTTTAGTTCTTTCCCTTCATCGCCTACCTACGAAAGAGGACCCAGTTTGACCTTGCAATCTCCGGACCCTTTTGTCTTTCGGGAGATGGCCAGGTCGCAAAAGTTTCTCCAAACCTGACTTATGTATAACACTCTGTAGCGAACCGCCATGCACCGTGGACTGGTCTTATTTCTCTTGGAGCTGATCGTAACTTTCAAAATCTAAACAACTCTGCATTCTATCTTCTAAATTGCTCGTACTAGTCGATCATTCGCGGCTTATCTTCGAGATCTGAAATGAACAATCCAAACCGATCGCTCTCTGCGGAGGTGCGCAAAGCTTACAACAGAAAGCTCCTTCCAGGAGAAGACATCAACGATATCTCGAGTCTTTCCATTCATCGCATTGCGCGCGTATTCTCTCGGGAGCGCCTTTTGGTTCATCCGCGCAAATGGACGGCGCGCCAGCTTCAGCTCCTCCGTTGTGTCTTTACTGGGAATACACAACAGCCTCCTGGACCTCGGAATGGAGTTGCGTATAAGTATTTCCAGTCGCATGGAGCACTCGAATCTTGGTCTACGAGTGAAGAGTTGTCAGACGGTCCGCCCAGGAAATGGGGAAAAGAGCTGTATGGCGTATTTCACGATAAAACAGATGTCATGCGTCAGCTCCTGAAATCTGCCTTCTTCAAAATGATGTAAGTGCACGAGTTTTATCATAACTTGTTTCTTCTGATGCCTTTAGGGTTCTGTTTCTCCGATTCGAAACCGAAATGATTCCCCTTCTAGGTGATGGCTTTTTCAGCCCTCCTTCACCTCTGAACGGACTTATCTTTTCTGTTGTGCACATAGATTTATCGGCCCTTCAGCATCATTGCTTCTACAGTCAAAAAAACATTGCTTCTACAGTCAAAAAAGATGCGTTCGTCAGAGGCAGCTTGCCGCCGACCTGAGCCCAAATCCGTATATCACAGCGCTGATCGTTGCGCAAGCTCAACGAAGCCGAAGTCGTGGGTGTTACGCCCGGCTAGAGGTAGGTATTTCCAAAGAGGATACCTTTCACAAGGTCAGAACTAAGTCTGGCGGCGGCCAATCAGTCTTGAGCCAGATTTGTTTACTGACCATAGTCAATCAGGTTCATGTTCTCATTTCGGACCAGTCCTTTAACCCCAGCATGGATGTGTACAAGGCGTTTGTTAATGATGCTGTCGTTGATAGGTTTGTGAAACCTTGGGACAAGCCTGGGCCTTCTCACCTGACCAGCGTCGAAATAAGTCATTCCAAACTGCCCTACAGACCATACAAGACTTTTCATACACGTCTGATGACGGAATTGTATAATGGCCATTGCGACTTGGGGACAAGCCAAGGCACGAATGTATCAGAACATTGCAAGGGCGCAGGGGACGTTTGATGAGGCGTTGGGCATCAACTTTGGTATCCGGTGGACAAATACCTCATTAAGGATGTATAACATGAGGGTGAAACTGAAACAAGTACAATTTGTAGACACACAGCATGTATAGACAAAACGTTTCCGGGAGATGCGGAATTTCTATCGGCATCACTTTGCTATACCCCATCCCTCTCTCGATGAAGCACGAGAAAACGGACCACGCTTGACATGCGTCGTTTCAGCAACGATACCACCGTTTGATAGAAACCCAGCCCGGACAAGGAACTGCACGTTTCTTTTGACTGCAACCTTCAGTCTCAACGGGGCCTCTCGTTGCTCTTGAACACGCACATCCCATTCCAATGACCCATCCTCCATCAGGTGCGCTAGTGGCCACAGAGGATGCCCTTCATTCCTGGATGTGATGTCTCTTCTTAGAAGTGGTAGCCACTGAGACGCTGGCATCGAACGGATGCTGAAGCCCATGTTCTGGATCAGGCTCCAAAAGGCTCCCCACGTCATTCCATCCTCATGATGAACAACTGCCTTGTGAAGCGAGGCTGGTGAAAATGCAGTATAAACCGCTGCTTCAGCCGTCGTCGCAGCGTCAGACAAGTGTAGCCAGGCGGAGTCGTCGTCACAGTTGTACGCGCCAACGTCTATGCTCGCCGCCGTCAAACGCCATATATAGTCGTCCGTATTGGCCACTCCTTCTGTTGGTGTTCCAATGATTAGACCCGGTCTGAATACGGCAATGTTTCTTTCACCGAGCGGGCAACGCTCTGCGGCACGTTTCACCAGGACTTCCGCCACGAACTTAGACTGGCTGTAGCCCATCGCTTTGGACAGCTCTCGAGCAACGTCCTCATCCAACTCATCTGCGGAACGGCACTGCCTCCCACCTGATATGAACGTAAACTTCAGGTTCGGGTTCCGAATCGCGAGAGCAGTGAGCTGGACGGTTGAGCGGACATTCACAGCCTCTAAAGCCGCATAGCCTTTGTTCCAGTTCACAATGGCGCCGTTGTGGATAATGATGTCGATAGAATTTCCGTCAGCCAACGTGTTCCACTCTCCGTCCGTAAGCCCAAGGTTCGGCATCCCCAAGTCGCCCTTCCACACTTCCAACTTTTCTCCGTGAAAGTCTGTCCACCAAAGACCTTTCCGAGCCGCTTCGATGACCCTTTTTCTGGCCGTGTCTATGCTGTTTCCACGCACAAGGGTAATGACTCTCTTTACATCTTCTCGTTCCAAGAGTCGACGCAGGATCTGTGTGCCCAGATACCCGTTGGCGCCGGTCAGGAATATTGTCAACTTTGCTCTTCTGGCAGGTCTCTTAGGAAGGTCATCTGACATGTGTTGCCATCTCAAGAGCTCGGTTTCTTGCTGCTCGATCAGAGTCATGATGTCGATCCCACACAACACAGGTTGTGTCGGCGCACGGCTTTTGGTTCTGTTTTCGGCAATTGTGTCTGCAATGAACGCAGCCAGGCTTCGAATGCTTGTTCGTTCATCCATCAAAAGTTGAATGCTCACCCGCACTTGATACTTCGAACGAACGAAGTGCATGATTGACATCATGTTGAGCGAGTCTAGTCCTGATGAATGCAGCAACAAGTCTGCAAATCGATCCGAAATGCCGCGCTGAAGATGGAATGATTCCCTGGGAAGGAGGGAGAAGATCTTGCTCGCCAGTTCATACGCGAGTACCTCGTCCGATCTAATGTCAGGCGTTGCACAGTCGGCTACAACAGGGCCGTCAATAGCTCGGGCATCGGGTGCAGACATTTTCTCTATCCAACTTAAGATGAGCTTTCTATTCGCCTTGCCTGAGGTGGAAAGCGGAAAGCCTTCGGTCGACAGCTTCTTGACGTCGACCCAATGCCTTGGGACCATGATGCTGGGAACCCTTTCAGATATCTCTTGCTTGATGTCTTCTAACGCCTTGGCACGGGAGCGAATACGATCCCTGTAAGCCACACTGTCTGTGTTTCTCTTGTCGTCGTCTCTGTCGTTATCATTGTTGTCCTCATTCTCGTCCTCCTCCATGTCCAGTACGCCAACAAGCTGCTTTGCGAGTGGGCCTGAGGACGGGAAGATAACTACGCCACGCTTGACAAATCGACAGGTGGACAAGTGAGACTCAATGTCTCCAAGCTCCACTCTCTGTCCATTGATTTTGATTTGAAAATCCTTACGCCCATGGTAGATGAAGGACCCATCCTTGGTTCTTTGAACCAGATCTCCAGTCTTGTACAAGCGAGTCCCCTTCCCCCAAATAGGGCTATCGATGAAAGATGCGGATGTTTGTAGATCGTCGAGATATCCATTGGCCAAAGTTGGACCCTCGATAAGGAGCTCGCCCACTTCGCCATCAGCCAACAAAGTGTTGACGTCGTCTGCATCAACTATCCAGCAAGAGCACCCGACAGGGTACCCGATAGTCCTGGCTTCTGCTCCAATGGCGCAGGCTTGAACTGTTGCAATCACAGAACATTCGCTGGGCCCATACGCGTTGAAAACCTGGACACCTGAATCTAGCCACCTGGCAATGACGGGCTCATCGGGGGCTTCGCCTCCAAGAATCAGGGTTTTCAAGGACGGTACATTGGATGGTGCTAGTAGTCGAGCCACAGATGGCGTTAGGAGCGAGAGACTAACGTTCGTCTCCTTTACGAAATCCAGTATTCCTTCGACACGTTGGTTTTCTGTCGGGACGCAAACAGTGCCGCCGTGTATGAGCGTGGTAAGAATTTCGAAGAGGCTGGCGTCGAAGTTGTAAGAAGAAAACTGTAGGACGCGATGGTCACTGGAAATACGGAGGGCCTTCCCATGAGCCGTTGCCCCAGAAGTAAAAGCAGAGTGCGAGATGACAACACCCTTGGGAGTTCCAGTAGATCCAGAGGTGAAGATAACATATGCTGGATTTTCGGGATTGTTTAATCGGGCGGATCCTGTGGTGTTGGATTGCAAAAGTACTCCTAAGGAACTCCTATCCGCAACCACCGTAGTCGCAATGCCAAGGTCGGTGGCTTTAGAGTAGAAGGCAGACACGATCGCGACTTTCGCCTTGATTTCGCTCGTAATTGCTCTGAGACGTGATATCGGTTGGTCAGGATCCAGGGGCACAAATGCAGCACCAGCCTTCATCACCGCAAGCATGGCGACAACCGTCCAGACGGACTTCTCGAAGCAGAGTGGGACAAAGTCTGTAGTTGCAACGCCAACACTTTTTAGGTGTACAGCAAGCGCAGAGGACATTGTCTCGAGAGAATCGTAGGACAGAGTGTCTAGTGTCGATGTCACTGCTTCCTTTCCTGGGTGAACCGTGCTTTGCTCTGAGATAAGGTCGTTGATCGTGGCAGAAATCTTCACCGGCAAAACGTCATCTCTACTCGTCCTTCCGTCAATTTCTGCCGGTAGCATATCGTAAGCAAGTCTCGAGAGCTCGCAGTCTGCCTTAGTAGAAGACGTCGCCCAGGACAGCTGAGTCATGATGATCTTGACGGTTTCGATAGCTTCGGCTACGAATACGCGAGTGGTCGCATCTTCGTCGACGTGAGTCGCAAACTCGACCTTGCCTGGTTGAAGCCAGACCTCGCAGGTAACCGGAAATGTAGTGAATTCTTCCCGATAAATAGGCTTGCCAAGGGGTCCGGGGCCATTCTCATCCCACCCACCGCCAGCTTGAACAACGAGCAAGTTCTGAAACCCGCACCCGCGCTTTGTGTCCTCGTTAAGAGACTTGATCTGCTGAATGCCGGCTTGTTCAAAGGGAATCATAGCTGTGGCTTGGTCTTGAACTTGGCGAAGGAATTTCAGCACAGTGGAGCTCTTACTGATTGAGACTCTCACTGGCACAGTCGCAATCGTGGGGCCCTCGATGTTATCAATGTCTTCCAACGGTGCGTTTCGACCCGACACAGTTGCTCCGAACAAGACATCATCCGACTCGGAGAAGTGACTGATCATGAGAGCCCACGCAGCCCGAACCACTGTTGACATAGTCACGCCGGAGGCTGTGTCCACGTCAATAATCAGAGAATCTCTTACGACGGCGCGAGCGAACGACTGATGACCTGGCCTTGGGGCGGCGGGGAAGGTTGATTGTGGGCATTCGCTAAGTTCCCTTTGCCAGTAGTCGGAGCTATGCCTGGACTCAAGCTTTTGAGTGTAGGAAATGAACTTGCGATAGTCAGTGGCCGGCTTGACCGCTCGACCGTGATACGTCTCGTTCAGTCTGTTGCAAAGCATGGCTAGAGACCAGCCATCGTAAAGCATGTGATGAATAGTCCACACAAACGTGACATCGCCGTTGACATCAGTGACTAGAGCGAACCGGTTGAGTGAATCTCCAGGAAACATTGGGTTTGCGTCGTCGTTTGCCAAATATTTCTCAAGGTCGTCGGAAGTAAGCCACTGCACATGCCCCTTTATGATGGCCTGGAGAGATCCTGCAGATGCCGTGGTGGCGAATCGGGTTCGCAGAATAGGTGAAGTCGCATGTATATCCTCCCACGACTTCTTGAACCGTGCCAAATCGATGGCTTGGGGCAAAGGATGAATCCAACGGCCCGTGTAGCTCCCAGGTCGTGTGAGATTGACTGCCATCAAACCTTCCTGCATGTGAGTGCAGGGGTACATGTCTTCAACATCATCAGGCTGAACCTCGCACTGAAAGGAGACTTCTTTGCGCAGCTCAGCTAGGTTAAACTGATCGACAAGCTGGTAGGGGTTGTACTGGTTTGATGCTGCGTTGGTCTTGTCTGTCGCAGTCCTTTTGCAAACCAAGGCCATTTGCCTTAGGACCGAGTTCTTGAAAATACTGGCAACGTTGATTTGAATTGCAAGCTGACGGCACGCTGCAACAACTTTTATGGCACCGATTGAGTCGCCACCGAGTCTGAAGAAGTCGTCTTCGGCAGTGATTGAATCTTCGGGAAGACTCAAGACCTTGCCCCAGGCCTTCCGCAGCACCACCTCCGCAGGGTTCAACGCTGTGTCTGACGTTGACGACAAGGGCATCGAAGACTCAGATGCGGGAATGTCCTCTGATAGCAGAGTTATCTGACCCTCGGAAGAATCTTCTTCGTCTTCAATCACATTGATTTCCAAAGGGTCTGGCTCGATTATGGCAACTCGCGGGGTCGGAGGGTTGCCCTGACTCGGTGAACACATCAGTTGCTGCAGGGTCATGGTGTTGCCCAAATTGCGAAGTGTCTTGCGATCAACTTTCCCAGAAGGAGACAGAGGCAACTTGTGGCATGGCACTACCGTTTTGGGCACCATATATGTCGGAAGCCTCTCCGCGAGCTCAATCAACGCTTGCGCGCTCAAAGATTTGACTTCCATCCACGCAGGCTCTGCCTCATGAATAAGGAGGCTTGAAGATTCGTGGTTCTGGATCATTGATTTCGAGCAAGCAACGAATGCTGATAATAGTACTGTGGTTTGTGTTCCACTCGGTTGAAGCAGCTCAACGGCAACGTCCCAAGCCGGCGCATTCGGCATCGCAAATGACGACTGCGCACCACAAAAGAGCTCCTTGAGTTGGTGCTCGATCTCTCCGAGCTCAACGCGTTGGCCGTTTATCTTGACTTGAGAGTCCTTCCGACCGAGAAAATCGATTGACCCATCAGGATTCATACGGCCAAGATCGCCTGTTCGGTAGCAGCGCCCAGGATGTCGAACAACTCCTCGGAGGAATTCAGGATCATCGAGAAAGACTTCCTTGGTCTTGACATCATCGCCGAGGTAGCCGCGTGCAACGGGAGGTCCCTCGATGACTATCTCACCGACAGCATTGAAAGGAGCCAGATGTCCGTTCTCATTCACAATCCAGACAGCGCAATTCGCGGGTCGCCCAATAGAAATGCTCTTCACACCTCGAACTCTCGGCTCACTGACAATGGTGAGGGCAGAGCATTCCGCAGGACCATATGCGTTGATGGTCTTGACGTGGTCAGCCCAAGTATCAGCAACGGCTTGTGGCAGTGCTTCGCCAACTAAGCAGAGAACGTCGAGGCTGGGAACACCTCCAGGACTGATGAGGCTGGCCACCGACGGTGTCAGCATAGCCCAGTTGACGTTCATACTGGAAATGCAAGTCGTCAAATCGTTCATTCGCTGTTCCTCGCTAGGAATGCAGAGACAGGCCCCAGCCATGAGAGAAGTGAAGATCTCTAACATGGATATGTCGAAGGAGAACGAGGAGTATTGTAGCACTCGGGAACTTGGGGAATCGAGATGTATTGCCTTGGAGAATCCCTTGGCACTCGAAGCGAAGGCAGCGTGTGTGACCACCACGCCCTTCGGCTTGCCAGTCGATCCGCTAGTAAACACAACGTAGAGAGCGTCATCAACATCCCTCGACACAGAAGATGGGCCTGCAGGGGTTGCGAGTGGGAGCCTCTCGATGAACAGTCTATCTATCACCATCCTTTTGTTTCGTGAGATATGCGGAGGAATCTGATGTTGACTTTTCGCTGAAGAGATCACCACTGAAGCTTTGACGTCTTCAATTATCATTTCCAGGCGGGCGGCGGGTAGTGAGGGGTCCAAAGCCACAACGGCACCGCCCGCCCTGAGGACTCCAAGAATGGCGATGATGCTGTAGGCGCACTTCTCGAAGATGATCGGAACGAAGGTTCCACGCGTCACGCCCAAGTTGGTCAGGGAGTTGCCGAGCCTATCAGCGTATTGCAGAAGCTGGCCATAAGAGAGGCCGGCATCCCAGGCGCAAATAGCCTCAGCGGATGGATCTAGTTTGGCTTGATTGGCCACGAGATCATCGATAAATACGTTCTCTCTTCTCTCCAATCTGCACAGCCATTAGAAGTTGTTCTCTGTGATAATAAAATGCGGTACTCACGGTCGGTTAAGCTGAACGAGGTGGCGTTGGCTGGCCGGGCCTAGTATCTGGATGTCTTCCAACTTCTGCACTTCCCCTACCGAGGACGACAACTGCCAGAGCACATTCTCCAAGTCGTTCAGTAGAAATCTCACTGAGGTTTTAGAAACGACTTCGTGATTGAAAGTGGCTGCCAAGGCGATCTCGGTTCCATTCATATGACATTCGAGAACGAAGTCATACTTCGTTGAATTGAATGGCGGTACGATGTACTGGCTCTCTACAAGGTATACATTTGTTCTCAGATGAGATTTTGTGGTGAATCCTTTACCACTGTCCGCGGAGTTTCTGTTCATAGATTGCTCAACATACTCGAGAAAGTCCGCAATGTTGCTGGTATGATTGGTGGCAACGCTCATGTCCACAGATGAGATCGACTTGGAACCGTGCTCTGCAATCGATGAGTTCAGTCCAAAACAAACGGCTTGCGTAGCGTTTTGCGACGAAAGCACCAGAGCCCAGGCAGCACAAACGACCGACTCGATAGGTCTTTCCACGTTGCTCAAGTCAAAGCATGGACCTCGAACATGAAGCACCGGGCTCTTGAACGATCCGATGGGATTCTGTGTCTTTTCACAGGTAACCTTCTGGGATGGCGTATTCGAGTGTATTGTAATCTCATCCTCGGTGACTTCAGTGACACTGCGTTGGCTGGATGCGGAAAGACCGTCAATGTCGCTGGCTTCATTGTGACCATCGTTCATTGAACCGGGCGACTTGAAAGTGAACTTTTTGGGGATTCCCGGAGTGCCACTGGAAAATGGGCTATCGAAGACGAACTCGTCAGGAGCCGGGGCGTCTGCTGGAATAGGCGCATCGAAAACAAACTTGACGGAATGAAGCCTTGGGGCAAGCTTCCATTTGCCGTCAGAAGATAACATCTTGGCTGTTGATGTGCAAATTGGGGTGTAATAGTTTAACGTGCATGAAGATTATCATGCAAGATGTCAGCCCTGGGGAGTGGCGCCAAGACGATGTTGGCGACTCTCGATCATATATGTCCCCCACCCAGAAGATCATGCATGCCTCAAGAAGAGTGCATAAAGCGAGCATTCGGATCATCGGCTTTCACTAGCCATATCGAGGATCAAGCATTCGGGCCAGAATTCGAACCTCCTGGCACACGCGAAATCCTTCAAGCTGATGAGCCACCCTTCATCCATAAACTCCCACATTATTCGAGACTTACCAGCGGACTTCCTTTCCGCGTGACCCGAAGAGCTTGAACTTCGCATAGCCTCTCTGTTATGGCCCGAGGTGGTCTTCTCCGCTGTGTTCTGGCCTTGTTTCCAAACGTGTCGCTTACCTAGAAAGGAAGCTGAGTGAAGACATCTTGGGCTTCGAATCCTTCGACTGCGGTCGTATACCCACAGTTGCGATACCTTCCACAATTCCACTAATAGTTCCACCGGAAGGCAAAAGTCAGATCACATCAGAGAGCCTCGTGTTCTTGTGATTCGATAGTGTGAGTCACTTGAGTACTCGACAGATTCTTCGTCCGCTGTGCCCGGCTGTCTTTTGCCGGTGTGGTCACACAATGTTCGACTTGTTTTGCGGAAACTGGAATTGGCTATCCGATTCGCTGTGTCGGAGTCTTGCGTGGATAATATGTCTCTCTCTTTGGAAAGGCTGACTTTGGTTGTGTGTTACTAACCGTTCCAGTCAATGATGGGCCGGCTGTGTGAGGAAAAAATGACATTTGTCATTGGTGACTGGTGCAGATGAGGTTCGTGACAGGGCCCAGCATCCTGGTACCCATTGGTTCTTTTGTAGCCAATGCATGCAAGGCGGCTGCATGCTGTGCCTTGCATGGGTTCGTGGGATCCAGGCTTTGACGCATGTTGACTTCTTCCTGCCGGGCGGGACCAATGCTTGTACTCGAGATCGTTGCTTGAAGAAGCCCTCCAGGAAGAACTTCTACTTAGGTGCCTAGCGAGAGCATGCAGTTCGATCCTTCAGACCCACGAGAAGGGTGGTCAGCGATAAGGCAGGAAATCGTCGCACTCCATAATTGTGATGCTGAACGTTAGTTAAGGTATGTCTCAACTCCATCGGCTTCTTTAGTGCTCATTCGCCTTCCTGTTGCGGTTGGTGACAGGGCTTTGATCCATGTCTAGGCTGAACACCCCAACTGTGGCGGTCAGGCAGTGTAGTGGGGGCGAGACCGGGCAAATCATTCAGGAATCTTGACATGGCCCTCTTATGGTTTCCATCCCGGAGAGTGATGAATGAATATGCTCTCATCTTGTCCATCTTTCTCAACGGTGTCTGTTTGCTCTCCCTAGGTGGTGGTCTCAGATACTGCTCGACCTGTGCACTCAAAATGTCTTTGCAGAGTCAAGAGCAGGTGCATGAGCGCGCCGAAAAGCCAGTCGATGCTCAGTCCAAAACTTCTGGCAGTCAATCAGATGTGCTCAACGCCTCGGAGAAAAAGGCAGCGACAGGGGATCTCCCTGGATGGAAGGCCTTTCTGATTTGGCTGGCCATCTCCTTTGGAGTATTGTGCACATTTCTCGACGAGGGGATCATTGCAACCGCCATCCCAAGAATCACAGATGATTTCGGCTCTCTGAAAGATGTTGGTGTAAGTAAATGCAACTCTGAAAGCGGACTCGAGTAGCCCCTACTGACATCATCTCCAGTGGTATGGATCGGCGTATCAGATGACTCTGTGTGCTTTTCAGCTGGTGTTTGGTCGCATGTACAATCAGTTTAACATCAAGATTGTCTTTTTGGCCTCCCTCGGCATCTTTGAAGTTGGCTCTCTGATTTGCGCGGTCAGTCCCAGCTCAGCTGTATTCATTGTCGGCCGCGCGATCGCCGGCGTTGGAGCTTCTGGCTTGCAAAGCGGCAGCTTGGTTCTTATATCCGCAGCTTTACCAGCGAAGAAGTTGCCTCTGTACTTGGGCGCGATTGGCATGGTATACGGCGTTGCGGCGGTCGTCGGACCAGTCGCTGGGGGCCTCATCACAAATAGTTATTTGACATGGAGATGGTTAGTTCGAGCTTTCTATCCAAATTCTTCGACTTGTTTGCTGACCCTCTGAAGGTGCTTCTACATCAATCTCCCAATTGCGGCTCCTCCCGCTGTTGCGACATTGTTTCTGATCAAGTCGCCCCCACCAACCCAAGACCAACGGCGGCCTTGGCTGCAGAAAATCCGGGGTTTAGATTATCTTGGCATGGCCCTTGTTCTTCCTGGGATTACCTCATTTCTTCTTGCTCTCCAATTTGGTGGGACTTTGTTCTCATGGAGCGATGGCCGCACCATCGTGTGTTTTGTAGTAGCCGGTGCCCTCATCATTGGTTTCACTGTAGAGCAGTGGTGGATGGGCGAGAAGGCGCTTGTGCCACCTCGACTTATCAAGATGCGTGTCGTCATATTTGGAGCCTTCTTCGGGTTTTGCCTCGATAGCGCCTTTTTCGTTTTGGTGTATTATGTAGGCATTTGTCCCTCCCTTCCACTCATGAACAGTTCATCTGACTAAAATGCTAGGTTCCATTATGGTTTCAGGCCATTCAAGGTGACACTCCAGAGCAGTCGGGTGTACACTACCTAGCCTTCTGCTTGGCTTTCATCCTAACCATTTTCCTCAGCGGCTGGGGTGTCGCTAAGATAGGATACTACCAACCCTTCATGCTTGCAGGGACGGTGTTGGTTGCAGTAGGTGCCGGTCTTCTATCAACTCTTCGACTTCAGTCTGGTGCTGGCCAGTGGATCTCATATCAAGTTATTGCGGGCCTTGGCATCGGAGCCTCGACCCAACAAGCCGCAGTTGCTGTTCAAAGCACGCTGGCTGAGGGAGATGTTGCCATCGGCGTCGCAGTCGTCCTCTTCTTCCAGTGCTTTGGACCTACTGCTGCAATTACGGTCGCCCAGGCTGTGTTTTCGAGCGACCTGGCTGCCGGAATCTCAGCTAAGATTCCCGGTATTGACTTTCGTCATGTTCAAAGCGCCGGTGCCACGCAACTGGCGGGATTTGTATCTGACGGAAAGCTTGAAATTCTCATGGATGTATACAACCATGCTATTACTAGGGCTTTTTTGGTCGCTGCCGCTATGGCAGCCGCGAGCGTTGTTGGGGTTATCGGCATCGGACTTCGTCGTATTCAAGCCGACGATGAGGCTGTGGAGACAGATCACGAGAGTAAGTAACGACCATTAGATTAGGTATTTCTTTTTAATATTCCTTCCTACACTGTGCAACAGCACTCGGTAGTTGGTTTCAATCAGCACGGTACTCTTCAGTTGGGTAACATTCAGGGAAAGTCCCTTCAACTCATCGTGATGTGACAGGATTCATCATTCAAGAAACCAATCCCCCTTCAACTAGCCTAGCTTTTAATGGACAGAGAGAGCACCATAACTCTGGTATTGGTCGTTATACCTACCTCCCTGTTTTTCTTCTTGCCGTACCCTACTGAACACGAAATTTGAAGCCTTAGAAACCAAAAAGAAAAGAAAAAAGAAATGCATCAGAAGTATTGCGTTGATTTCGAAGTGGCAGGCGACCTTTGGGGTGAGCTATCCAGGGGCGAAAACAATGAGTCATAGGTGCCAGAATCTGGAGACAGCGGCGAATTTGGAGACGATGAGTTCATGTTTCTTTGGGTGGTTGACCTTCTAAACGAAGACAGTCGTGACGAGTTTTGCTCGTCGAGTTCGAAGTCTGCAGGAAGCTCGTGCCTCGTAGACGTAGGGGTAGAAAGCATCGAAGACCGTTGATTTGCTTCTGAGTGAGAGACGTGCGAGGAAAGGCGGCTTGCTGTTCGCGAAGGAGTCGCAAAATGTGTTTCGTCATTGAGTGTTGGCGGGGCTTGGTTTATTGTGCTGGATCTTTTGACTGAATTTCTCACCAACAGTCCTCCGTTTGTATTCTGCATGCTTGACGCGGGAGATATTGCTGGAAGAGTTACTACTGTCTCTTTCTTGTCGAATTCAAGGCAAACGCTTCCAAGAAACATCTTATAAATGTCTCCATTGGCGTGCTCAGTGTCAATAAGGTCCCTGAATGTCAGAGATTAGCATCAGTTCGTGTTGAGTCCATGACCCACTAGACACCAGCGTTTCACTTACGGACAGCCGTAAAGCCTCATGTCATCATCCAGACGCTTTAATCTTGCCGCTGCGTTTGGTTCGTTTCCAAATTGCACGAACTGGATTGTAATAGGGCGAATCACTGAGATGTCTTCGCGATCACCAGAGTACCCGGCGGCGACATACGGCAGATCCCCATGCAAGTCTCGCAGTACTTGGAATGTCGATCTGAGATGCACGTCGAGTGTGTACTCAATGTTCATGCCCTCCCAGATTCCGTCTGTCAGTACTATGATTGTTTTCTTCCGTGGTTTGGACTTTGCGGAAGTCATTCCAGTAGTGTAATCGTTGACTATGCGTTCTAATGCGGGCAGAATGTTCGTTTTGATGCGCCTTGACGCGCTCGGGGTTGCCAACTTCATTGCGTCCGTGAATTGCTTCAGTGATTGCGAGCGCGACTCCTTGACCTTCGCCTTGTGATTGGTGTCAGGATCTGTGAACCGAAGCTCGACGCCATCTTCGTCATATCCTAATGACCTCCACACTAAAACTTCCAGAAGATCAGTAGCCTGCTTCCAGTGAACATTCATTGTAGTGCCGTTGTCAACAAGAAAAACCTTTGCTTGTCAGATACCTCAGAGTTGGAAATCAGATCCAAATTGACTTACTATGTCTCTGTCTCTAAATTCTTGTTGTAGGCGGAGATCGAGCTTCTTAGTCACATTGTTCGAAGCTGGCTTTCCTTTGATCGTCACTGGACGCTTGCTAACCAGAGTACTGGGGCTACTCAAGGATGGTTTCCAACTCATGGCGCTTCTTTCGAGTTCAGCTCGTACTACCCACACAGTCATAGGCTCTCTATCAGGCTCATTTCTGGTGTTATCAATCTGATGCAAGGATGAGGGCTGGTTCGAAGAATCCCAGTCATCATCCTGGGCGTCGGCTATAGCTGATCCCTGACCTTGACGTCGAAGGATTGCTCGAGGATCGGAGAAATCTTGCTGGTCCCTCCTTCCATGAGAAAGTGCACCAAAGCTGAAAGACTGGCTCCGTGACTGTGAAGGAGATCCAGTCCGATTCTGTGAGCGCTGAGCAACTGGGAGAATCTTTTCCGCTAGGAGCTGGTTGCGACTTTCGAATTCGATATTGGCCTGAGGTAGCTTGGGTCTCGGAATAGGCACAATCCGTTTCGAAATGTCTTCCGGATGCGCTCTATTGATGCCCGAGTGGTGATCATAATCAGTCTCAACCTGAAGATCGATATTTTCCAGGAGGCGCTGAAGCTCTTGTGGGACTTCGGACTTTGGCGCGTTGATACTAGACATGACTTTTGAGAATTCTTCGAAGACCTTGCTGGCTGACCATCTGTTGTCACCATCAACCAGCATATGCTTATCAACCATGTCTAGTACAATGCCTGAGTAGGCATCGTTCTTTCGGGCTGTTTCACGGAGATACTGGTGCCAATAAAGGACTTCTTGGAGGACGTTGGTTCCGTTATGGAATGCATCGCTCTTGCTCGTTGTCGCATTGAAGATAGCCTGTTGGCGAAGTTGGTTGTAAATGAGTACACCTTGAGTACCCAACACCACATAGGTTGCGGCAATCGACAGTACGCAGCCAAGAGACCAAACATCACTAGTTTGGGGTACATACGGCATCTGCTTACTAGTACCGTCTAGATACGCCGATTTCTCTGGGGCAGCTTTTGTACATGTAGCGTGTTAGGCACCGAAAAGGCGAAGAATGAGAAGAAGTCTCGTATCGATTTCAATTAAGAAACACGTACCGTAGGATCTTGTGCCACCCATTGCCTTGGCTGTTTGAGGTGATGTTGTGTTGTTCGATTTTAGCCGCATACTTGCTTCTCCAGGATCTGCGAGCTTGAAGCGATCATTCACCCTCAGTATGTTTTCCGGTTTAATGTCCCCGTGCCACCTGAGATTAGTTGTCAGCAACCCTTCGTATACCGCACCGTATTCTCTTGAACATACGTCAGATATTTGTTATGGTCAATAACCACAGTGTGAATAGATGCCAGGGCTCCAGATATCTCTGACATTGCCGCCCAGAAACCACTTATCTCTTCAACAGACGTGGGAGGCGACTCCATTCTGATGGCAGTGTAGAAATCAAACTCAGCCAGTTCAAGAACAATGTTCCAGTATGTTTGCTGGATGCCGTCGGCGTCCGGTTCAAAATTACGAAACCATCCGATGTACTGTATCATTCCATCCTGGTTTTCGAGGTTTCGGAACATCTCCATTTCGTTTCTGAAGTGGTCGTGTTTGTCGTGCTTGAACTGTTTCAAGGCGAACCGATATTTCTATTTAAGCAATAACATTAGCGAATTTCTCGAGCGTATTTGACTTTGTGACAAAGCATGGAAACTTTGGGAGAATATCAACCTACCCAGCCCGTATTTGCATTCGTAATCGTACCCGCGCCCGCAGCCTCGCCCTGTAAGTTCTCCTGTCTTGAGATTCTCGCAGATGCCATTCGCTTCTGTAACTTCGCGCCAACGAGCTCTTCTGGTATTTCGATATCATACAAGTTTGCTGTATTAACCAGACGTCCTTTGCCATCGCGGTACGGCTTGATCGCTTCCTTCCTCGTGAACGGAGTGATGTCTTTGTGGTCGTACAATCGCCCCATCTCCATTTCAAATCGGATTGGGCACCATGCAAACTGGTGTTCATAGAACTTCTCATGGAAATCTGGGAAGTTGGGCGCTTCGATGTTGCTCTTCAATGCTGAAAGCGCGATTGGAAGTGTCCCGAGATCTTTGTGAGTACGGAACTGGTCGATGAGGGAGGGGGCACCGATATCTAAGAGCGTGTAGAATATTGGGAGATGCGGCTGGTATTGTTGTGTCCTTACTTTGGGTGGACGAGGGTCATGCCGAAGATACGCGGTTTTTCCGAGCCTATCGAGGTCATTTTGGTACAGTTCCTTCGAGCACGAGGGTGAGTGACCCAGAAGTTCTTCTGTGACATTGTCGACCAAGATATATTGTTGGCCATGGATCGACTCTCTCGTATGTCGTCGGCAAATTGCACGGAACTCATGTAGGGCTATGTGGAACTCCTGTGCGAAATGCGAAGCCTGATCTTGGTTCATCGTGACACGCGTGGACTGTGAGCTTACTGGTCCCCAGTCCAAGACATGGGGTAACAACGAGCGTAGAAAAGAAGTAGACACTACTAATGAGACGTTTTTCGAGTAATCGCAGGATCGGTGAAGGTGGCGACATTCTCTGACACCATTTGAGGGACCGCTGGGGGTTGAAGTTATTGAAATTTGGGAGAATCTCTGCGGAACGAAATACTGAAGGTGAGGCCTCGAGCCTGCTGCTGCTCGAGTGGAAGAGGGGGGGCACATTGTCACTGACAACATGCGGCTGAGGGGATTCCTTCTGGACGAAGGTCAATCTATAGCAAAAGAGGAACTTTCATCCTTCTAAAAGAATGTTTCCACGATGATGTGGGTCCGAAAAACTACGAATGAGCAGCTGAATTCAATAATTCAGTCGTAGTGTAATTCCACACTTTGAAAGTCGGTGCTAAACCGCACACGCCTCGAGACATTCTTGCTATTGTTTGCGCAGTACCACGAAGTCAACCGTCATGGTCACGCAAGACTTTGCTCGGGCTGAGTGGCATGGCTCGCAAGACTTGCAGGGGGCGGGCGGCATGCCGTCTGTCACGTTGAGACGAGACATCGCAGACTGGCAGGTTGGCCTCCAAAAGAGTTAGCGCGGGCAAGATTGGCGCCCACCTCGAGATGTTGGTCGGCCCCTATTGAAGGTCGCGAACCATGCCCCCATAGCGCCTCGAGCCCTCCCTATTTTCACGCTGCAACGCTAATTCGCCGATTCAATGCGACTGAATGGTGATTGGGTCAAAGGTAGCCGTTAGCCAGGTCGACACGAAATCACGGCACCGTGGATTTGTAAACGGCAAACAGCAGTTGGCGCAACAAAAGCAGCCTATTAAGTGTATTCCATTCAAGGACTTACATGCTCGCTCGTGTTTAACTTTGAATTTCCTCTCGGCGAACGACGTTTTCGACGTTCAGTTGGCAGCTAGTTACACTGGCTATATGAATGACAGACTGGTGATATGTGTCTGCAGATTCGTACCATGGCTTGGGGGGGTTGCCTGGCGCTGAAGGGCGGGGATGAGTCCATCGGTTTGAGGGCTCCAGAAATCCAAGAGTCCATTGGCTAGAACATGCATCAGCTCATGAGGACGTAAGGCGGCCAGGTGCCTGCTGTCAGCCTGTTCGGTGATGATCGCCCAAATCGACCACCTTTGGGTAGCACAAGTGTCTCACCGGTCAGCAGCGTCAACCTTCAAAAGCAGAGGGTCCCCAAGCGATTGGAATCCGCCTCAGGCTGTTCAACACCCTTTTTTGCTACCCCGCCACGACCAAGCAGGGGAAGTTCATTGCTCGCTCGCCAAGATCCTTGCAACCCAGAGCCTGATCTTCAACCCTCTTGATTTCTCAAATTCCACTGGGAGTTTACTCCAACCCACGCGCATTTCTGATTTTCCCAAACAATAGAAATGGTCTTTAATATATGGAATCGAGAGAATCGAGAGCGCAGGGATGACGGCATTAAACCAATCCAATCAACCTCATCATTTCCCCCGCCCCCTCCCGACTGGGTGCAGGTCACTGTTTCCGCGTACAATCTTAGGTGGCCTTGTTTGAAGCAGTGGCTTGGAAAGGAATTCCCTGGACGTGGCTCATTATTTGACCAGCCACAGGTACGTTTGATGCAGTTCATGTGGATCTGCGCCTCTTGTGCGAGATCATGGAGGACTGATCTTGTCAAAGGCAAGGTATGAAGACACTTTCTTCTTCTTCGCCCCGCGGGCATTCACAAACGTAAGTCATCTCAAAATCATAATTCACGATGAACATGAGCTCGCTGACATCGAGAAGTCCGACAGAGCGGCCATAGACAAGCTTCGAGAATCGAGCAAGGATAGCCAGGATGCAAATGGGCCCCGCGCAACATCCCCAGATCCCATTTTAAATCGAACTATTGGACGACCTCCATTTTTAAATGTGGCTTCAAATTTCATTAGAGTCAATAAGTCTCTTAGATATGTAGCTCAATACATCACCAAGTCTTCCCTGCGGCAAGGCGTTGGCGCCCTGAAATGTGGGCTGTCAGGTTGTCATGAGAGACAATGAGATCGTTGGCAGGGAGAAGGAAGGGGGGAAGCTTTCTATACTTCAATGTAAAACTACCACGTATTGCTTTGGATGGCTGTGGGTGACCAGTGGAGGCTTGGCTCGGCAGGCTGAGTCCGCCTGCCTTGGCCACCGACCGCTTCTCGTTGCATTGCATACGCACGCTCATATGATTGGCCCCTAGACAATACACTTGGCGTGGGATATCGCACTCAGCCACCAGGAGCGGGTGGTCAGGCCCACCCTTCAAAGACCAAAAGCAGCGGACTTTTGTCAGCCCAAGGCATAGAAACTTCATACGGCACTCTTTGGTTCGGTGTAGACGCTCCACGGCTCTCGAATATGCCAAATTGCAGTGAAAGTTGTTTTCTTTTAACCCTCAGAACTTCCCTCATACCTGCCTAGATAATACACTGATACAGATTACCGATCTGGGAACTAAGCGACCTAATCAACATTTCATCCAATCAAAATGGGTTCTTCTTCGCCCCTTGAACTGTTCTACCCGTCATTTGACCAGGACCCTCTCGGGTACTTGTCCACGTCAGTACATGGCAGAGCCACTATACCACGCTTGATTGAACGATTCAAGAACATGTTCATCTCAGATGCAAAGGAGCACTCAATTCCGGTGCGAAGTATTTCAGCGAATGGTGCCGTCGACAAAATCAACCTTCTGAGTGACAACGAGGTGCGCGACTTCCTCGGCGATGTCCCAACGCAGACATTGCGCAACACCGCAAGCACAACAGGAACTTTCAACTACCAGAAAGATGAAAAATGTCGCTTCATGTGAGCCTACCTTACGGTTGAGTTCTCATCGTATTATTCTAACATTGGGCAGACACCTGTGCACGCCGAGCACTGTGGGGCCCTTGAAACTACATCCCCGAATGCTACTGCGGTTGATGACATTCTACCAAGTCATGAGTCAAGTTTTGGACTTTCTATATGTCTACTCCTCTCAGCATGCAGAAGATCGTGAATTGCGCTTCAGCGGTTTTAGAACAGAGAAAGCTCTTGCAAATCCCGATTCTAGCACGATAGTTCCAGAGCTGGGTAGAAGTGGAAGACGATATCAGCTTTGTCTAAATCTAAAAACAGTGGCTCCAAAACCTGATGGGAATTGGAAGATTCGCCAGGCCATCATCTATCATCAGTTTGACGTTGGCCAAGGCACTCAATTGTGGTTGATTGGTGATCCTCATGGTATCCTCAAGAAGAGAGTTGGCGAGCTTTATCACGACTCAAAGTTGTATCCTACGAGCTTCAGTACAGTATCTCAGGGCTTCATGTCATCTCTAGAAGTTCACCTGGACTTTGCAGAATGGGCAGCATCGGAATGGAGGTGGCACCTTCTCTTTCTCGAAGACAGAGCAGAAGAGTTGGTAAGACGCTGGTCCTCCGCGGCTGCAACATCAAAAGCTGACACATCCGTTTAGACAAAACCAGCACGCATCAGAGAAAGGAGTCACCTAGAGACAATCAAGCCAGCATCACTCACAGACGTGCAGAAATGGGAAGAAAAGACTAACGATACCATCATGGCCATGGAGTCGAACGTCAATATTATGCGATTGCTTCAGAGGTTTTATAGAGATCTGCTGAAGGACGAAAACTTTCCAGCCAAGGAGCGCATATTGTGCCAACAAGCAACGAAAACTTTCTCTTTCCGCTTGGAAGAGCTTGTGTGCGAAACTCAGATGCAGATAATGCGGGCTAAGGCGCTCGCAAAGCTGGTGGCTGACCGGAAAACCATCGTGAGTTAGAAAATTGCTAGGGACTTCCCAAGGCCTGATCAGTTTACTAATCTCATCCTACTTCTTTTCAGATCATCCAACATCTCCAAACTCAAAGTGCCATCGTATCTTCGAAATTGGCGGCGAGCATGTTTGAGCAGGCGGACCGTAGCGCGATGGAAGCTATCGCGGTACGAATAGTCACTATCGTGACAATGATTTATTTACCTGCAACTTTTTCAAGTGTAAGGCCAAACTTTGTGATTCCGAGTTTTGTACTTGAGCTAACACATGTTAGACCTTTTTTAGTACTGACGTGGTAAAATACCAGGAGGGAGAAGTCTTTTCGAAACTAGCTCTTATGCGCTTCGTCGAAGTCACTCTTCCCCTCATGATATTGACGTTCGTTCCCGCCGGTGTATAGTTCTGGATGGAGCTGCGTAAACGAACACAAAAGTCGCACAAAATTAAGCGCTCGATGTCTGAACTCTTTCCTCCGGACGCTGCAGAAGTCAGGCAAACATCTCCCGATCCTTTCCCTCCGAATTCTGCAAATCTACTTGTCAAAAATGGAAGTAGATGGCAGACTCGTAATGGACATTGAACGGTTGTTTCGTTATGGAATTGACGGGGCACAAGCGGTGTGCCATCTATGATCTGATACAGCATATACTTTATTTTGCCCCTTTTATCAACGCCAGCGTTATACTTTGATAGCTGCTTCATACCTTGATTACGAGTTTTGCCATTCGGGCGGATGTCTTTGACTACCTGGGCGGACAGTGAGATGACATCAACGAAATCCGTGATCACAATCATACGCATCAAATTGATATTTTTAAAGAATAACATATTAGGAATGACAGAGAGGAGCAAAATTCATTGCAGTTTGAAGCAATCATTGGCCTAAAAGCCTCTCGCTTTCCTGCTTGATATCCGCATCAAATTCCCTCCAGTTTGCCAATGTCTTCTTCTCAAATCCCCAAAACGGCTTCATCAAAAATGCAAAGAGACCACTGAAGTCTTCGGACTGGATCATTGTGGTGCCTCCAGGCGTCTTCTCGCTTGCCCGGAAGTAAAACGAGTGGGCTCCTGAAAAGATGTAAGGAAGCGACCCATTCCATCTGAAGAGTTCTTTTGAGTTTTCCTGTCATTTTGTTAGATGAAGATGGTTGCGAAAACAGAATATAAACATACCAAAATAACAGGTGTGAACGCCATTCCCTTGAGGTTGGTGCTGACGATGTCGCCCTCCTTCAGCTCGGATGGCTTCTTGGACTCGTCCTTGGTGGACATCTTCCACACTTTGGTCCACTCGTCAAAGCGGTGCCAGTCGAGAAACTGGAGAAAATTAGAAACATTTCATCCTTCAGTCATGGAAATGATCTGACAACTTACCACTGATTTCACCATTGCTGGCGGCGCAGCAATCTCAACCTCCGTGGCGATGCTGTGTGTGACACCCATGATGTTGTAGCTGGTCCGTGCACTTGTAGATGGTGGCTTGAGAGGTTGTATTGGACCTCTGAAGGTTCTGGAGATGAGAGAATAATGGGATTTTCCTGCCTTTTTTTTTTGTTTGGTGGAACAAAAAGATGTTGATGATGTTTCTGTTTTCGAATGAACCGAATCTTCAAAGGGCCAAGCCACGGTCTTTATAGGAATGTCAGACTGCCATCCTCACCAAATTCGCATTGGCTTCGCCGGGCGCGACATTCCTCCGCCGCAAGCCACAAACGCGGGGTTCGACGAACTGGCGCACCAGAACTCCGGACTGTGCCGTTTGAGGCGCCCGGCTAGTGTGTCCGACAAGGGGCAGCCGGGGGAATTGCAAGCGGGATTCGGGGTTGACTAAGCAAGCCACATTCTGCTATCGGCGCCGCGAAGGATCGGAGTGCTTACGTCTTTTCTTCTTATCGGCAAGACGTGGTGACCCTCCGCCGCGGTGACGCTCCGACATCGTGGGCGGGTGTTTTCGCGGTAGCCGAGACTGGAAATTCGTAAACCTAAATTCAACGGTCTTGGTCTTGATCTATAAAATTGGCATTGTGATCATCATGGTCGTGGCGTCGTGGCTGATGAGGAGTACTGCAGCATCGTGGAGACATTGCGGAGGATTTGGCGGAGGATGGTGATCAACGCTGCTGTGCTTGGGGACAACCGACCCACAGGCCTCTTGTTTAGCTGCAGGAAGCAGCTTCTTATCTCAACTTCCCTTCATCTTGCGTTCATTTTCAGGTCAAAGGTTCCTCTCATGAGCACTAAGTACTACCATTCCATGTTCACTCAAACATATGTCCTAGCGTAGCAATTGGGCCAAGTCCAAGTACCAGCAACATCGAAACCTGCAACCCCGTCTCTATGGTAGGCTTCTCTGACTGGCAGTCATTCTTAGGGTCTTGATCCATGAGTGGGTGAGCTTTGATCGCTGCCAGCTCAGACGCAACCCGTCAGTGATCGACACGAACCACGCTACCCGGGTGTTGCGAATAGCTTCACTTTCTCATCCATCTCGAAACCAACATCAACCCTTCGTCCTTCGTCACTGACCTCGGAAATGTCACAACTTACCCCGTAACGCGGAGTAGTCCAAGCCCCAACTGTCTTTCCAAAACATAACAACAAGCCGCCAGAAAAGCTTCAATTCGTCCTCGCCGACCTCAACGCCGCGCCGAGTCTTGGCGGACAGCATCGGTAGGCTCGGCACCGCAACTCCAGCCAAGCCCCCCAAAGGACAAGCGCGAAAGCGACGTTGAGGCTCATCAATGAGCTGATGGGGGAATAACGCATTGTAGTATAGCCCAGCTGGGCGCTCAACTCCAGACGCCGTCCGTGCAAGGCGACCCCTGCCGGCGAATGTGTCAAACTGATGAACGGCCTGCCGTTCGGTTCCTCCCGAGCTCCTCTCCTGTTGCCCTACGGGCTGGACCACTCCGTCTCGGAGTTCCTGTCAACTCTGCATGGCCCCCAAACGGGCTGCATCTTGCAGACCTTTTGGTCCGCTGACGCTGGCTACAGTCCCCATGAAAGGATCTGAACATCGCCTCACCAAAACCTTCACCCTCATCATTCAATTTTCCTCGGAACAGTCTTGCCGAATCCTCAAGAAAACACCCGGGACAACCGGGCCCTGACTGGGGCCAGCAGTTCACGGACACCGGAGTCAGCGAGGTGTGCGAAAAACTCTAAACCGCCCTGCTTGAGTCGTGATCCCTGCACGATGCCTCCTATTTTCCCTATTTTCAAACTCCTCGGCTCCGCCACAGCAACGGGATGGCTCTGGTCGCAATTAACTCAATTCCAGCCCCTCGGGTCCGCGGGGAATGAGACGACGGGGAGATTGGCAGTCCCGCAGGTTTTCCATCCTTGTAGGGACGAACGGCGTTCTAGAAGCCGCGCGCGGGAGACAACAACAGATCGGCCTATTTAACAACAGGCCCCCATCCGTCTCATCTCACGATCTACTCTCTTCCCTCCTCACCCATCACCGCCTTTGCTTTCCCACAATCGCAACAAGTGTCTCTCACTTCAGTCCCTCACTTTCGTGAAAACACCCACACTCTTTTTCCAGAGCTCCAGTCACACCACATTCTTTTCCTTGTTTTTTACACCCAACAACAGCCCCCGTTTCACCAAAACTAGCCAACATGAAGGTCAACGCCCTCCTCTCCGCCGCCGCCCTCGCCGGCTCCGTCTCCGGCCTCGCCCTCCGCCAGACCACCCCCATCTGGCAGACCCTCCCCGCGACCCCGGACCTCCCCACCCCCATCAGCACCACCACGGTCCCCATCAACGGCATCAAGATGTGGTACCAGAAATACAACGAGAAGGCCGGCGCCGTCCCCATCGTCATGGACCACGGCGGCCTCGGCTACTCCGCCTACTTCGGCGCCGTCATCTCCCGCCTCGTCGCCAATGGCCACTACGTCATCGCCCTCGACCGCCGCGGCCATGGCCGCACCACCTACAACAAGGACGACGTCTTCACCTACGACCAGATGGCCAAGGACATCCAGGCCCTGCTGACCGAGGCCGGCGTCAGCACCTACAACGTCGTGGGCTGGTCCGACGGCGGCATCACCACCCTCGCCGCCCTCATCGACGCCACCCTCACCAAGCCCATCAACAAGGCTTTTGTGTTTGGCGCCTCCGCCAAGCCCGACCAGACCAACGCCACCTTCAGCGACACCGCCGTCTTCACCGAGCTCGTCTCCCGCTGCAGGACCGAGTACGGCACCCTCCAACCCGGCGCCAACTTCACCGAGTTCGCCACCAAGGTCTCCGTCATGGAGGGCACCCTGCCGCAGTTCACCGACGCCCAGCTCGGCGGCATCGACGGCGCGAAGGTCATGATCGCCGGAGCCGAGCACGAGGAGGCCGTCAACCTCGACGTCCCCGGCATCCTGAACAAGGCTATCCCCGGCAGCAAGATGACCATCCTCACCGGCGTCAGCCACTTTGCGCCCCTACAGGACCCCGACCAGTTCACCAAGGCTGTCGAGGACTTCTTCAAGGCGTAAAAGCTCTTGATTTCTTCCGGCTGAAATGTTAAACGGGGCGTTCTAGGGGGCCTGTTTTTGTATGATTTCTTTTGATTTGGTATAGAGGGTACGAGAAGGCAACTTGTGTACGCCAACTCTTCAAAGCATGGCGGGTGTTGAGAAGATAGCTTCATTCCAACGACTGGACAAAACCAACGTGGTATCTCCCTTTTATGATGTGAATGTTGCGCTATGCGCCATCGGTTACATGGGAACATGTGCCACCAGGCTTGTGAAAAATGACTAAAATTCAAACTGGCTAAGATGATGACCGAATTCTATACAACCCCCCAAAATCTCCCAACAAACTTCATATATATAAACCAACAATATCGAATGCAAATCGTCTACTGATTCAAGCCTTGCGTCGGCCCGTGCTCGGCCACCTTACCCTTATCCAAACGAATGAAGTAGTTGGCATCTTGGACTGCCTCGAGACGGTGGGCAATGGTGATGACGGTGCTGGTTGTCAACTCGTTCCTCAGCACCTCCTGAACTCTAGCGGCCGTCTCCTTGTCAATCGACGCCGTCGCCTCATCCAGCACAACAATCGGGCTCCGTCGGAGGACTGCCCGACCGATACCGACAAGCTGACGCTGGCCCTGGCTCAGGTTCTTGCCGCCGCCCTCGATGTGCATGTAGAGATCCCAGTCGGGACCCAAGACGCGATGCAGAACCCCGATGCAGTCGACATCGGTGTACTGATGCAACGGGTCGAGGTTATCACGGAGCGTGCCGGGGAAGAGTACCGGATCTTGTGCAACGAAGCTGACTCTCTGCCGCCACAAGTGGACGTCTACGTCGGACAGCTTGTACTCACCTATGCGGATGCAACCCTCGGACGGGTGGATCGTTGCGAGGAGCGCGAGGGCCAGGGTGGACTTACCAGACCCTGTTCTGCCCAGAACGGCGCAAGTCGATCCGCCAGGGATTGTGAAGGTGGCATTTGACAGCGAGGGATCAAGATGGGGTGCGTACTTCAGAGTGACGTTCTCAAAGCTGACGTCGTCGACGTGGTGAGGCCAGCTGGCGGGAGGCTTGGTGTCTCCGCAGGGCTCCTCTGGAATGTGAAGAAGCTCGATTACACGCTCAACGGACACAAAGTCCATCTGGAGGGTACCGTACTGCTTACAGAGGTTGTGGGTTGCCTCGACAAAGGACGAGGCGGTGGTGAGGACGAAAGCCGTCAAACCCGGCGACAGTCCCTTGTAGAGCGCCAGAAGAGTAAGTGCAAACGTTGAGAGGGCAGATAGGGCGTCGAATCTGTACATCAGCCAAGCCTGCAAGCTCCAGTAGAAGTGGTCCATCTTCTGAAAGGCGTCGGTGACCACGATGTTCATGTTCTGGAAGTGGTGCTGGGCTTTGAAGGCACGGATCGTAGCCAAACCATCAAGGAGAATGCCAAAGTTGGACATCAGCGGACTCAGCGAGACCATCTCCAATCTTCGCAGACTTTGCGACGTCGGTAGGAAGCGCATGAAGACGTAAACGAACCACAGAGTCATTCCGACGGAAAAGAGAAGGAAGAGCGGGGTGACGGAGGCAATGACCACCATACTCGAGAACCAGGCCAGGGACCACCAAGCCACCTGTTGCAAGGGAGACATGATACCTCCGTCAATCATACCGATATCTGAGACGAGGCGGTTCATGAGGCGTCCGACGGGAGTGACGTCGTAGAACCGGAAGGTGGCCCGGCTGACTTTCTCAATGACCCGGCGGAACAGGCTCTTGGCGGCCTTATAGATCATGAGCAGGGCGAGACCTTCAGACAAGGTGAAGATGAGAGCCTGGAAAATCGCGATTCCCAGATAAACAAAAAGCCACGGGCGCAGGTCGACATCGGGATCCGGGAGCTGGTCAAAGAGATGGGAAAAGTCCACGCCAGCCGAGGCAACCTCCACAGAGGTCTCTTCGTTATACGACTCGCCCCAGGCCTTGAGAAACCAGTAGTTGAGGAGGCTGCCCAATCTGAACAGACCAAAGACGAGCACAAGCGCGCCCCACCACTTAAGCTTGCCCGCCTTGATATAAGTCCAGTAGACAGACAACATGACTCCGCCGTGGGCTCGGTGCTCGTCTTCAATGAACTTGGATGGGATCGCGGCGTTCTGCTGAGTCTCATCGATCGTGTTCTCCTGCTCATCTTGATGGGCCGTCTGGTCTTCGTCCTCGAGAAGGAATTTCGCAATCTCATTAGATGCCTCTTCCGAGCTCAAAACGCGTGCGGTGCCGTCAACGATTTCGACCATCTGCTGAGCGAGATGGAGGCACAAATCGACTCTGTGAGTGACAAGGACAACCGTGCGACCTTCCACAAGAGAACCCTGGAAAAGCTTCTTGACAATGGACTCGGCGGTGTTGTGGTCCAACGCAGCGAGAGGGTCGTCCAACAGTAGCACCCGCGACTGGCTGTACACAGCTCGTGCGAGAGCAACTCGGGCTCTTTGACCACCCGACAAACCGATGCCGTTCTCGCCCATATCAGACAAGTCGCCATGCTTGAAGTTGGCCAGGTCAGGAAGCAATGCACAAGCATCAAGTACTTGGGTGTACCGAGCAGCGTCGAAAGGCGCCGAGAACAAGATGTTGTCGCGAATGCTCATGTGCTGAAGCCACGGGGATTGAGCGCAGAAGCCGATCGGTTCGGTTGGAATGATAACGTCGCCCATTAGGCGATCCAGTTCTCCGAGAATCGCCTGTAACAGGGCCGACTTTCCCGAGCCAACCTTGCCGAAGACAACGGTGAGACCCTGGGGAAAGGTCAGGTCGAGGTTTCTTAACACTGGCCGCTCATACCCAGGCCAGGCAAAAGAGGCTTTGGTGAACTTGATGTCGTTTGTTAGATGGTCAGCGTACACGCCATCCTTATCAGGCTCGCCCATGAACTGTTCGATACGGCCCATGGCGATAGATGCGTTCAAAACTACGGTGATAAGGTTGGGCAGCTCCTTGAAGCTGGTTTCCAGCATGGCAAATAGTTGAAGGGCCGGGAAGGCCACGTCGACAGTGAGAGTCTTGCCAGCCAAGAACGTATAAGCGAAGAAAGTAGCCACAGGGAAAAGGGTCCCGGAAGCGATGTTGATGGTGGCGATGGCGATCCTCCAAAGACCCGTAACGATTCTGGTGTTGAGCTCGTGCTGTCTGGTGACCATGATGCTGTCCAACCACTTGGACTGCCAGTCATACCAGCGGAGGTGTCTGATGCCTTCAACAAACTGGGATGTCGATTGCAACCTCGCGTCCGTTGCAGCCCTTCGAAGACGCTCTTTCTTCAGAAGCTGTGCGATGAATATGGTGTTCAGAACTTGCGCAACAATGACGCAGGCCATGCCCAAAACACAAGGCCAGCCGAGGAGCTGCCAAACGAGGACGAAGGACAGGATAAACTGAAGCGGCTTCGTGACGAGAGTGGGGAATTCCCAAAACCGCTGGGCAACCTCGTAGACGTCGCTCCTCATGAGGTTCAGGATCTTTCCCGTAGTAGCAGGCTGTCTGTGCTCTTGCACCTTCTTGTACTTGTGATTGTTCTTCTTTGGTGACCGGAACCAAGATATGACCTTGCGAAACCGGCTTGCAGATTCGCTGTCTGCGTTGCTGTCGTCGGCGTCGTCGTGATTGACATCGCCATTGGCAGCTCCGTCGCCGGCAAGCATCTGCTCCGCAGCAGGTTGACCGAAGAACTTTCGAGAGAGGGTCTTAGCATAGAGTGTGGTGATCATCTCACCTCTAGATCTCTCGTAGCAGCGTCTTGAATACCATAGCTGGAAGACTGCCGACTGACAAGCAGCGAGACGGACAGCAAGAATAGCTATTGCGTAGAGAACAGATACCTCCACGTTCTGATCGCCGCCTTGGATTGACTGCAAGAGCTGCTTGAGCAGGATCGGAATAGACAGATTTGCGGCGGTCTCAATGATTCCCAGGCACGACTGGATGATGAGGTCCATTCCATTGGCCGAGATGAGCTTGGTCATCATCGAGCCACGAAGATCGCGGAAGAGGGTGTGAAGCCGGTCATGCTGGAAATCGAAGGGCAGCTGCCAGACGTCCTCGTCGTGAAGCTGTTTCTCGGAGCCCCTGGCGATCAGAGGCCCCATCCACGATACCGTCATGAACTTCCATAAGGTGAGGTTATCTTCGGGGCTGCGAAGTTCGTAACTAGGGTCGGAGTGAGCGATGCCGTCGTCACTGAGCCGGGGGTCGCGCATTGGCATCGCAACGATGCCCATGAGTGCGACAAGACTGATCAGAGGGTCGACGACTGTGGGAATGGAGATGTAACCGTGGAGCTTGTAGCTGAAAGCGGTCGAAACGATACCGCAGGCAAATATGCTGAGATACAGGCAGAGCAGAGTCTTTGGGGTCTTTGACGGCCGGTCAATGGCAGTTATGAGAACTGCACCGACCCAAGGCATCAGGTCTGATATAATGAAGAGGTTCCGTGGGGGAGCCACGGCTGCGAAAGTCGCCTGGAGCAGCCCGGCTGCGGCAACGACGATAAGATAGACGGTCCAATACGTCCATTTCTTCTTCTGAGGGGTGTGAAAAGCGCTTGAAAAATGCGATTCCTGGGCGAAGGCACTGCACCATGACGGTCTATGGCGTATCAGCGGACGAGCAGCGACCAGACACCACAGGAAAGCTGCTATGGCGGCGCGAACGAGATTGGTGAACTCCATGACTTTGGCGGCATCGAGAGATTCCGTCGAGACCCAGGAGGCGTTTCCAACTTTTGCATGCGGGAAGGCATGCAGAGCCGGAGCCCCAAGCACATCTTGAAGGGCTGCATAGCCGTACAGGGCCACGCGTTGGCCACCCAGGTCGCGGGCATCGTCAAAGTTTGCAGAGCTGCCCATGACGGGCGAGAAGTGTGGCAGCTGGCTGACCAGGATTGCAACGTGTGGTACCGTGGTTGCGGCACCATTCAGGCTCCAACCGCGGGGTCGTGAGCCAGAGGAGACGTTGAGGTTGCTGGTTGGAGGTTTGTTGACGGACGCGCCGTACAGGTACAGGTCGTACGGGTACAGGTGCCGATTCACCGCTTCAGGTCAATTCGCTAAGGTAGTTGATTACTGCGCCGAATCCTGCTGCACCTGACCTCTCACGTGAAATCTCCGGTTAACAGCATCGTGTCTCGTGTAGGCGAGGCCGTGGTCCGCATTCGGCCGGATTTTATATCGCAGGCGGTTGGAAAATCGAGGTGTAGACAAAAGCGACTGTTCAAGACACGGAACCGGTTTTGAACAAAGGCAGGCGACGAACCGAAGGGGCCCGACGCTTTCAATTTACCGCTGCTCAGGAACGGGGATGGTACGGAGCCGGTAAGACAAGATTAAACGCCAATAGTGTGCTTTTGCGGTTGATGACATAATGGTCCACTTGGGGGCCAAAAGAGGTGGTCAGAGCTTCTGGTTCATGCACGGCGGGACGGAAGTACCTCGGCTGTCGGCAGTGGTGATACAAATGTTCCGACACACCATCTCCCGAACAACCTAAGAAGACCTGGACCTTAGGTAAGCGGACTGACTGCCGGTTCATCTCTTTCAAGCAGCAGCCAATTTCCATTGGATACGAGACACCCCACAATCCGAACGCGAACCCGACCGTCCACCCTTGACCGATGTCCCCCAAGGCCCGCCAAACACCAAGGATCTGCATCACCAAGCAATCCAAGCATCGCGGTTCCAACTAACGCCCTCCCACGCGAGTGCTACTGTACGGTGTACACCAACATCAGTGGATCCTTGGCCACCGCTGCTCTAATCAAAGGCGCTGGAAATGCGCTTATGCGGGGAGCCATGGCCCGTCGTCGGTGGACCTGTTGGCGCTGGCCCTCAGGGGCTCGCAACGGACCACACGCCGTCTGCCGGTCCTACGTAACCCCCATTGCCCATGCCGTCCCGACTTCAAGCGGATCCCATGCTGCGGTGCGCTTCGAGAAGATGGGATCGACTACATAAGGCAACGGTCCTGTCAGTTCGTCTGTAGTACCAGCCCCTCTTCTTCGTCTCGACTCGCATCGACCATCAACCCATCATGGCCAACGTGACCGAAGCCCTCGCCTCGTCAGGCGTCTTTGACCAGTACTTATCGAAGCACTTGCCGGCAGCCACTGCGGGTTTTGTGTTTATCCTCTTCGCCTGGTTAGCGCAGAGCTTCTTCAAGAATGACCCCCTGGCGAACGTCCCTGTTGTTGGAGGACAAGGGGGCGCATGGAAGAAGCGGAAGGAGTTTGCTGCGGGAAAAGGCTCCGATTACTACATTGAAGGTTACCGGAAGGTGAGTTCTCTGGGTTATTTGGGCGCTGATGACATGGCTAATCCATCTTACAGTTCAAAGACAGCATCTTCCGCGTTAGCACTTTGAGGAGTACGTCTGCCCCGTGCTATCCTACCTTAGCATCCCGCTAACTTGCCGCAGAGCGTGATACTATCTGCGTTCCGCCAAAGTATCTTCCCGAACTCAGGAAGCTTCCCGACGATGTTCTCAGCTTTGACGCGGCCATTCATGAGTCCATGCAAGTCAAGTACACCAAGATCGAGAGTGACACGCCTCTCGTGGTACACACCGTGAAGGCCTCATTGACTCCTGCTCTGCGTAGGCTGCCCATCATCTTCAAATCCATCATAGGTCTGCCATGCTAACACAAACCTCAGCCCGCCTCAATGCCCTCATCTCCGATGAAGTCGTCGAGTCCATGCGCCTCGAGCTGCCGCAATCCACCGAATGGACCGAAGTCAACATCAACTCCAAACTCCTCCGCATTATCGCCATGGCCTCCGGCCGCGTCTTCATCGGCCCCGAGCTTTGCAGAGACGAGCGCTACCTCGACGCCTCCATCAACTACACCATCGACCTCATGACCGCAGTCCACGTCGTCGCCTTCCTCCCTGGTCCCTTGCGCCCCATCCTCGCCCGCTTCCTGCCCCAGGTCAAGCAGCTGAACCGCCGCATCGCGGAGGCGGAGGCCGTCTTCCGCCCCATCGTCGACGCCCGCAAGCAGGCCAAGGCCGCCGGCGGCGACGACTACCAGGAGCCCGACGACATGCTCCAGTGGATGATGAACGCCCAGTCAAAGTTTGGACAGTCGACTAACCGCCAGCTGGCGCAAAACCAGCTGGGCATCAGCTTTGCCGCCATCCACACCACCTCCTTGACAACGACCAACGCCCTCTACTGGCTTGCCGCGAAGCCCGAACTGATCCCGATCCTGAGAGACGACGTCCAGCAAGCCCTGCTCGAGTCTGGCGGCCAGTTCTCCAGCCCGGCATTGCAGGGCATGAAGAAGCTCGACAGCTTCCTGCGCGAGGTCCTCCGATGCTCCCCTCTTGGCGCCGGTCCGTTAAACCCCCTTGCCCAAAGTCCCCTTCTACAAAACTAACAATCACCCAATAGGCTCCTTCTCACGCAAGGTCCTCAAGGCCATCAAGCTCCCCAACGGCCAGGTCATCCCCCCAGACAACGTCATCGAAATCCCCGCCGGCGGCGTCAACCTCGACGACGAGATCTTCCCCGACGCCGAAGTTTTCGACGCCCTCCGCTACTACAAGCTGCGCCAGGCCAAGGACGCCGCCGAGTCCGGCTCCAAGGCCGCCGAGGTCGTCGCCAACAGCCAGTTCGTCAGCGTCGGCACCTCCCACCTCACCTTCGGCTACGGCCGCCACGCCTGCCCCGGCCGCTTCTTCGCCGTCAACGAGATCAAGATGATCATGGCCAACATCCTCTGCAACTACGAGATCAAGCTCCCGGACGGCGTGACTGAGAGATACGAGAACATCAAGTTCGGCGCCGGTGTAAGTGGAAACCCCTTGTTTTCTGATGCAACGTGAGATGATGGCTGACATGCGACAATAGTCTGTCCCCGACCCCACGAAGACCGTCATGATCAGGAAAATCTAAGTGGTCGTGGTTGCGGCATATTTCCAATCTCTTTCATCACATGTAGAATCTCTCAGAATGTCATATTTTTAGCGCGCAAAGCATCCATAGGGTCAGGTCATTAGGCATCCCAGGGGTATCAATTCAAACTTCCATCTCATCAACACTGATCTGCTCCATCATGCTCTTCTTGGGCCACTCAATCCAAGGCCTCCACTCGTCGTCGATAACCTCGTCCACCATGAGCATGACCCCCATGCTCCACCCTGAACAAGCCCAATCGTCCCGCCGCTCACACATCCTTGACAAGGCCGCAAAGTGCGCCAGAATAACCAGCGCCGTCGCGTGCCCGCTCCCAATCATCTCGATAAACAGCGCCGGCAGCGTAACGCACCATCCCCACACACCCCCGGGCATGGCATCCCCGTCGCCCGCGGCCGAGACGATCTGATGCGAGCGCCGCAAGCTCTCGAGCGCCAGCACGCACACGCTCTGCTCGTTGATAACATCGTGGAACGAGGCGGGCACCTCTCTCGCAAGCGCCGTGACCGCGTCGAGCCGGCGCTGGAACGCGCTGCCCGCGTTCATCATCCCGGGAGGGATCTCGGGCGAGCGCAGGAGCATGTCCAGCGGGCCGCCGCTCTGGCGCCACTCCTCGAGCGGCTGGAAGTCGAGGATGCCCTTGACGCCGTGCAGGAAGCGGAAGGACTGGGCGACGTCGCCGAGGCCGACGGCGCGGCCGACCGTCTCGGAGTGCGCGACGGAGTAGACGCTGACGATGAAGATGAGCGAGGCGAGGAAGAAGTAGGCCTCGCAGTTGGACTTGTCAATGTCGTTGAGGCGGGCGGCGAAGAAGCGCAGCGCGAGGTTCTGGTGGTGCACCGAGATGAGATCCCACTTGCGGCGCTCGGCCGGGTGGACGTGGGCGTAGTGCAGCGCCGCGACGGCCAGCAAGCCGTGCATGAGGAACTTCTTTGGAGGTTGTTAGGTGCTTTTTTCCCGTTTCGAGATAGAGTTCTCACCACCAGCCAACCCATGGGAGGGGGGTTATCCCGGGGAAGTGGGCAGTGGGTAGAGAAAGGCAAAAAAGACAAGACTTACATGGGAGCATGCCATCTCGGGTATAGCCGTCTTCCACAGCTCCTCAGTGCAGGCATCCGACGGCAGGGCGTTGCATGTCACGGTGCTGTAGTGGTGCATTAAGCGCAGGCTCTGCAGCCAATCCTCCGAGAGGAGGTCCAACCCTGGATCCGGGGCCGCTGAGCCGGCGGAGGAGGCGGAGTGGTGGTGTTGGTGGCGGGGGTCGACAAGTGCCGGGTCGCCTGCGTATGGTGACGTGCTGTTCACTTTTTTCCCGAATGAAAGTTTGCTCGTTAGCCAAGCGCCCCTCGCAACGTTGAGGGTGACATGAACGACAGGCACATAACACACCAAAGGAGGGTGCTTGCAGATCGCCGTTCATCCTGTTGAATACTCACCTGCTGTGGGTGTAAGACTGACATCGCTGGCAGCAGCAGCTGGAGCCGGAGCTGGGGCTGGCGTCGGCGCGGCCTCATGAGAGGCTTGTATCGGGACGTATCCTCCTACTCCCGGCAGCTTTGAGGTTGTCGTCGTCGGCGGCGTAAGGGGTGCCGTCACGGCCGGGTGAGGATCCAAAAGGCTGCAATGCGCGCCGTGTGCGACGCAGCGGTGGCATGGCCTGTTCTCATCGCACTGGAAAAGAAAAGAACGCGCGTCAAAAAACCATCTCGCTCTCTCATGTTCCAAGCTAAGCGTTTCTTGCTTGAAGTACACCTTCCTGCGGCATCACAGTTCATCGTACCTTGACACGGCGGGCTTTGCATCGCACGCACCCGTTCCTCGACTTCTTGTGCCCAAGCCGTCGGGTGCGCTTCTCCATCGTTCAGCGACTGTCGCCAACCGACTGGGCGGTATGCGAAATGACGTTCTTTGCGTTGGTGGATCGCTAGGGAAAGTGAGGTTGCGGCGTCCTCGTCAACGGCGACGGCGAGAGACGGGTTCGGGTTCGTATACGAGCGGTAGTACCGTCAGAGGGGGGAGTGTTCAGGAAACGAAGGGCCTCGAATCAAGGGGCCAGCGATTTTAAGAGAATGCGAGCAAATTGGTCCTTTACGACCCGTGGGGGCTCCTCCCCTGCCCCCTCGAGCAGTTAGCCTATGAGGGCATCGGGCGGTCCCGAATACGGGACTCGCAGCGACCACAGGGCGGTGCAACGAAGAGTGATTTGTGGCATTCGTTGCGCTGATCAAGGGGGTGCCCGCGGGAGATTGCGTGGAATTCTTGCTAGGGCGCTGGTAGTGAGCCGCTGAGAGATGACGGAATACGAATGCGGGGCGTACGGATGATGCGAATCCGAAGGTTTTGGCGGCTTGGTTTAACATGGCTCGGACGGGAGAACGTTTGCTTGTTTGAGATTGAGTGCTGCACAAGAATGCGGCAACCTGCAAGAGTTCTTCCTTTTCGTGTTTGAGGAGGAAGCAAGTATGCGATGGCGCGAACTTCATCGGGTTTCTTTTCGCAGCGAATACGGATGGGTATATTTGACATCTTTCTGTCGCAGTATACGCGGATTTGGACGTGGCCGTGGCTATGGTTGTTATCTCGTCTTGAGACTGCTGGAAATGCGGTGATCCTTGCGGCGGTCGGCTCTCCGGCACGATCAGTCAGGGAAATCCATCTCCGTGCTTGTCAGCCTGGCGGTTTGAGGAACCGACCCCGAGAAGTTTGCGAAGGCATGAACACCGAGCCGTGCGAAGATATCGGGAGCTTCGTACAACCCGAGGGCTATGAGCTGTCATTTGGTGAGGTCGGGAGGTCGTTGGTTCACGGTGCTGACGCCGGTGATCGTCGACGCTGCAGTAGCGTGCAGGAGAAGGTAGGAAGCATGACGGTGAGATTTTGGTACGACGCGGGCAAATGAAGTGTTTTGTTTGATGCCAAGCCGGAGGTTTTAACGGCGGATGTCTTGATATGACCGTATCCAGGTCGTTTTGCGTATTGGTGATGGTGGGAGAAGGTGAGAATACGAGCTGCTGCAGTGCACTAACAATTTCTCAGAGTCCTTATCTTATCGCTCCCAGCAGTGTGCCGTTGAGCAGGAGCACTTGACTCCCCTCGTTCCTTCTACACTGATGTAACCTCACACCGAAGGAACATCAAATCGACAGGGAAGCTGCGAAAGATCAGAAACTTACTGCTATTGAACCAAATCATTCTCGACGCAGCATGGTCGGACGACTCACGACGCAGTCCTCGAGATATGGCAAAATCACCTCACATATGAACCGACCACTAACAAGCCTCACCGAAGAAGATGGCCGGTGGAATTCGGTGAGCGCTGATAACGGCACATAAGAAAAAGCAATATAGATCCTGGGCATGGTGACGATCCAATGGGATCGAAGCCCCCCGCCGTCACAGAGTTGCGGGGTAGGTTCATCTCATATGCTCGAGAAACGGATGGATAAGGTGGTTCTTACGCTTCACGTCGCTTCAAGTGGTAATGAGATTCGACAACGGACCGACGATCAGCACATAGTCATCCGTCAACGAATTCACGAGAACCAATGTCTCCAAGCCAAGTCATAAAGCCGGATCCCGGAACTCCTCCCCACGGGACCAACTCACGGAAGCGCCCAAGAGACAGTCCTGACAGTCTTGACCAGTCCAGCGTCCACGACACTAAGAAGCGCATGATCCGCCATCCCGCCGCGCCTCCGCCTCGTCTTCCCGAAGCAAAGCTCACCTTCGGTCGCTTCCCAGTCTCCCGCTCCGTTGACTACAATCGGGACCTCAACCACCTCGACATCACCGGCCCCCGTGGGTTTCACCACATCCGCCGCCCCAGAACATCCGCCCCAGACCGGTCGTCCATTATCGTCGCCATCGCAGGCGCCTGTCCCAACAACGGCACCGGAGGCGCTCAGCGCTCATCCTGCGGCGTGTATTTCGGCGACAGCTGCCGCGAGACCCGAGGCTTCAGGGTCGACTCCGGACCCGCCACACCGCACACGAACCAGCGCGCCGAGCTCCACGCCGCCATCGCCGCCCTCGATGCCGTGAAGCCGTTCTGTGAGAAGGGGGGACACTGGGGTAGTGCCACAAGCGTGGACAAGCAGTGCAGGGTGACGCATGTCGTGGTGAAGTCACATTCATCTTACGTCGTCGAGGCCGTCGGAGGCGGCAAACGGGGACAGTCCCCGTACATGGAGAGGTGGATGGCAACCGGCTTCAGAACTGCCCAAGGTTTGAGCATAAAGAACCTCGATCTTTGGCGGGAAATCTTGCAGCGCCTGCGGGATGTGCAGAATCTGGGTTCGTTTATTGAATTTTGGCTGGTGCCAAAGGCTGAGAACCAGGCGGCTCGCGAGCTTGCGACTGCGGGGCAATCCAGACGGGCTGCGGCAGAAGAAATGATGGCTAGCTTCAGAAACGCTTATGGCCCTTTCCCGACGGTGAAGAAGGAGCCGAAGTGACTCAGATGAGGTTCTCTGAGTGGTTGGCGCGGAATTCGGGCAAACGGAGCTCTGACAGAGCATTTGCATCAACCTCGTTTGCATGGAAACAGGTCTTCTTTTGTTCCTCTACCCCCCGCCCCTCCTCTTCAACATATTTCTATCGCTCTTCACAACTATCACAGTCTCAAGTTCATCTTCCGATCAATCTTACATTCTTCTTTCCACTGCTATACGCAGATCGGTTTGCTGCGACGGGCTCACCATGCCACCAACACAGGCCCCTATAGATCGTATCATCGATATGGTGTCTTCCGATTCCGTTGCCTCCCACTCAGGACATGAGACTTGCTTTATGCCTGAGAAGAAGCCTCTCGGCGTTTCGCCTCCTCGGTTTCCAGACTCCCACATGGATGCGTACCAAGGCGACCTTGCCTTTCTCGAATCACCCGGTCCCGCCATCGACCCAAACGGCGGTCGTTTTGTCCATCTTCGCTGCTATCGACAGGACCACAGCACCCTTCGTCATGTCTCCCATTGCGACTCTCTGATCATCGCCGTCAGTGGCGCGACGGCCAACACCCCCAACAGGTCCGCCATTGGCGTCTACTTTGGCCCCAACAACCCCTTTAACCTCAGCCTGGCGGTGCCCACTAAGTACCGTATTGGGGAGGGAGGCGAGGATCTGCTTTTGCCTCACACGACGCTCCGCGCTGAGCTATACGGCGCAATCGCCGCTCTCAATGCCGTCCTCCCTTTTACACGCCAATACCGTATAGAATCTCCAACAAACGGCAGCACACCTACTACGCTCAAGCACGTTATCATCAAGATTGAGTCGGGGTACATTGTCGATAAGATATGCAAAATGGAAGCACAACGGCCTCTTGTCTTCCACCAGGCTTGTGAAGCTGGTAAATCTGACCGCGGTTGCTTGGATCACTGCGGTCTTTGGCAGGGGCTGCGTCAGGGGTTGGTGGACTTGGCCGACTGCGGTGCTGTGGTTCAGTTCTGGCATATTCCTCGAGACCAGAACTTAGAGGCGGGCGCATTGGCGAATGTGGGCTTGGGAAACCCCCTTTCCCCATCTGTAGATAAGGAGGTCTCGGTGTATTGGCTTAGTCGCATCAAAGTTGATTCGGCTCTCAAGCTTAAAGAGTATGGTTGTTGTACGAAATGGCATGACCTTTATCAGTACATGGTGACACGTGGTTGAGGGATTATGGTCATGTGCTCGGCGTTCGTGGCGGTAACAGAGAAAGCGTATGTCTATCTAGCTTCGGACGAAAGGAGAGAGAAAAGAAGCAGCCGTTTTGTTTGTTTGGCAGAGATACTATTTGACAAGCAGTAATATGCACAAGCACCGATCGCTCTCATTGGCACTGCTTGCGTGTGCCTGTTGCTCTTGAGCTCACGTTGGGGTCCAAATGTCCAGACATTTTCACTCACTGCCTGGATTTGATCAAATCAACCGCCTGTTCACAATGTCAGTACACCACTCAAGCTCACTTTCTCACTCAAGGATAACTCACCTTCTCAGCCAGCATGTAGACCGTCTGCTGCGTATTCGCCCCAGGCAACATCGGCATAATACTCCCATCAACAACCCTCAACCTCTCCGTCCCATGCACCACAAGATCCTCCCCCACCACCCCGCCCATCTCAAGCGGCTTCTTCGCCGCCGTCGCAATCGGGTGGAAATTCGTCGGGATGTACTGCTCCCGGATCCATCTCCTCAGCGCCTCACCCGTCACATTCCTCCCTGGCGACGTCTCCCGCGGCTCGTACGCCGCAAAGTCCGGGCTGTCCATATACCTCCGCATGAACTCGATCTCCTCGACCATGACGTCCAGATCCGTCGGGTTGCTCAGCGCGCGGTAGTCCACCACTGGCTCCGCCTCCGGGTCCGCCGGGTCGACGTTGATCGTCCCGTGGCTGACCACGTGCATGCTCATCACGATCCCGCCCGCGCCGCCCATCAGCGGCAGCCACATCATGTTCGTGTTCTTGCTGCGCAGCAGCTTGGCGTGCAGCCTCTGGAAGGCCGCGTAGCCCGCGACCACCGTCGGGTGCGTGTCCGCTGGTAGGAACGCCGCCGGGTCCTGCGCCTCGTATCGCGCAGCAATCTCCTCAAAGCGGTCCGCCGTCATGGTCGGCAGCCCGATCCACGCGCCCAGGTTCGGCGCCGCGACGCTCCACGGGTCGCCGTTCGCCGGCACCTCAGGGCCCTTGGGCCCGCTGCCGTTCTTCCCCCACTCGTACCCGACGCTGAGGTACGCGTGGTCCTGGAAGTTCTGGCCCACGCCGGGGATGTCCAGCAGGATCGGGATGCCGGCCTCGTCGAGGAGCGGCTTCGGCCCGATGCCGCTGAGCTGCAGGATCTGCGGGGTGTGCACGGCGCCCGCGGCGATGATGACTTCCTTGTTAGCCTTGACGGTGACGGGTCGGGTGTCGCCGTCACGGGAGAAGAACTCGACGCCTGTTGCTGCGTTTCCGTTGAAGAGCACCCGCCGGACCTTGTGTCGTGTGATCACGTCAAAGGTTGGTCTCTGGATACCGTCGTAGTGGCCTGTTCGCGAGTACGATCGTCTGTACGTCTTGGGGTCGATGGATGAGGGGAACCAGAAGAGGCCGTTGTCGCCGCCGGCGCCGTCCAGGGGTACCTCCATCCGCGGCATCTTCTTGACGGCTTGGTAGGTGGGAACTACGAACCAGTCAGCTTTTTGTCACCCGTCTGAATTTTCTGATTCCACAAACTCAGCGTCGGGTTCTGGTACTCGGGGAACGAGGCAAAGATCTTGGTGTTCTCTTCCATCCCCCAGGCTTCCGGGTCCCATGTGATGTTGAATGCCTCGGCGAGCTCTTCCTCGGGAGGGGTGAAGTGGACAGCCTGCGGTCAATATCAGTGACGAGCACATATAAGAGATGGGCGTATGGTTTCACCTTCTTGAAGTACGGCAAGACGCCGTCCCAGTCCCAAGTCGAGTCGGGTCCTCCCAACTCGGCCCAGCCGTCGTACTCGATTTTGGTCCCGCGCACCATGACCATCCCGTTGATGGCAGAGCTACCTCCAACACAGCATCCTATCCAAACGAACTGCGTTCGGTTGTTCATCTCGGGCTGCGGGACTGAGGTGATGTTGTACTGGATTCCTGGATCGTTGAAGTTGCGGCCCTTGCCAGCCTCGATCACCTCGTCCGATACTAAGAAGACATCAGGGAAAGGTCGGAGATGTCAAGGCGGAATTACTCACTGAGGTGGCAGTATTCAATCACGAGGACGGAGTCTATATCGATTGTAAGCACCGCTCCATCTTTAAGAAGCCTCGTCACTGACTCTTCCCGTCCTCACTCAGTCGGTCGGCAACCGTCAGGCCGGCCGTACCAGCTCCGACGATGACATAGTCATACGCATCTCTCACTTGCTCTCTTCTTTCCAGAATCGTCGCATACTCCAAGAGCATCGGTCTCGCGATGACAGATGGCACCGCCAGCATCGCGAGCACGCTCGCAAGCGCCACAGTTGATCGAAACATCATGAGGGGGAAATCGCAATCAAGCTACCTGCATCAAGACCCTCCCTCCTCTGCTCCATGCATCCCAGGATGTCCTTCGTTCTTTTAAACAACACAACGTCGCAATGCCCAGAATTTCTTTTCTACCTAAACGATCGTATACAACCAGCAAGCTCCGTTCCGAAAACCCAACTAACAATTCAGCCGTCAGCAACCAAGAAACGAAAACGCGAGGATCGCGCCTCAAATGCAACCCTCACCTCGGACTCTGGCTGATGGATGTCCTGAGAGAGTCATCCACAAAATACCCCATTGGAAGAACCAGACTTTGGCAGCTTTGGGGTATGGAGTCTGACAGGCGTCGCCTCCTATTTCCCGCCGCGCTGTGATGCCAAGATTGCCTACGGATTCTCGCAGACGCAGTCAGCAAACCCCAATCCCGTCGATTCGACTTTTTTGCCAACCATCAACGCAGTCGGGTCTGATCCTGTCGATATTGAGTATCGAACTCGAGAAGTCGCCATATTTGTACGTAACATTGTCAGATGTTCCTGCCAAGACACCAAGAGCTGCAAGGGCATGATACCCCCTGCCGGCTCACGGAATCTCCTCATTTTCGAGAAAAGCAAACATGGTCTTCTCTCATCGCTGCCAGTACTCAAAATTGGATACCATCGAATGGTCAGATGGCTCCGCAACTACCGTGTTGAAGTCACATTCGCACTTCTTCGTTCTAATTGAATAGCTGGCACCATACCGTCGAGTGCTGAGTCTCACCATGTACCACTTCGTGACGACTGGGCGGGCCTCTCCAGGCTCTCAGCACGTGTTTGAAGTCATATGTACAATACCTACCACGGGTCGTTCCGAGGCGCCAATCTATGTTCGCCCACGACTAACCCGAAGACCTCGCCAAAAGCCATGGTCTCCCGACCTTACACTCATCATTATCATCATCATCCCATCCCGTCGGCTCCGAAAACCGGTGACCCCAAGGACCCAAAAGACCCCTTCAAATACGAAGCCGTCTGCGCCTATGCGCCTAGCGCAAGGTTTCCCGTGCATATTAATATCCCCAACACTGCACGCAAGAATGGACTGCGCTCATCAGTCTTCGCGCAGATAACCACCAAGCTCAAGACGGCAGGTCGCTACAGGGCCCTTGACATCGCAAATGGCGGGTTGGCGTCTTGGCTTCCACGGTGAGGTTCCCTCGGGAGTGGAGATGTCACCTCGTCGGCTGCCGCAACGGGACAAAGCTGCCGGGGTCGCGCTTCCGCGTCGATGTTCGATACGAGAAAATCGTCAACGCAACATGGCATCACGCAAAAAAGACGATTGTGAGGAGGTGATTGCCCGGGCTCCGACTCGGACCGAGTTGTCTTCATAAATGGCCACTTTCGCCAACTCATGATGTGGAAGAAGGAGGAGAGGTCAGGCATTGTGCACTCAGCTCGATCGCCCGGATTCTGAGATCCTCTTCGTTCGTTTTTGGAGGTCTTGTCATTCGTTTTTTTTTGGGTTGTTATAGCCGACCATGCGTGTTGCGAGTGCGCTTGTGTCCGCGCTGGCCTTGGCCGGCACGGGTGTTGCCAAAATCTCCCGCCGTGCTATTGACGAGAACGTCCGTCCGTCTAACGACACTGCTGTCGAGCCCAAGAAGTTCATCTTGGAACTTGAGCAGGTATATTGGCTGCAGTGGAGACTTCAAGATGTGACATGATGCTGACACCCACCAGGGAGCCGATAAAGATGCCCTCGTCAAGGAGATCGAGACCAAGGCGGGCAGTAAGGTCCTCAAGGTCTTCGATTCGTCCATCTTCAGCGGCATCGCCGTCGAGTCTGACAGCGAGAACACTGACTCGCTCGAGGCCCTCCTGCCGGTCGTCAAGGCCTGGCACTCGAGCCGCATACAGCTCGCGCCCGTCGTCACCGGGGACTCCTTCAGCGACGACGCCGCGGCGCTCAACTACTCCATCCACTGGATGACCGGCGTCGACAAGCTCCACGAGCAGGGCATCCTCGGCAAGGGCGTCAAGGTCGGCATCGTCGACACCGGCACCGAGTACACCCACCCCGCCCTGGGCGGCTGCTTCGGCGCCGGCTGCAAGGTCGCCGCCGGCTACGACTTCGTCGGCGACGACAACTACTGGCCATACCCCGGCGAGGAGCGGCAGCCGGACGAGGACCCCATGGACGCCGCCGGCCACGGCACCCACGTCGCCGGCATCGTCGCCGGCAAGTCGTCCGAGTTCACCGGCGTCGCCCCCGAGGCCACCATCTACTCCTACAAGGTCTTCGGCCCCAACGAGGGCACCGGCGAGGAGGTCCTTATCGAGGCCTTCCTCCGCGCCTTCGCCGACGGCGTCGACATCATCACCGCCTCCGTCGGCTCCACCGGCGGCTGGGCCAACAACGCCTGGGCCCTGGTCGCGGACCGCATCGTCCAGCAGGGCGTCGTCGTGACCATCGCCGCCGGGAACTCGGGTGACGTCGGCCCCTTTTTTGCAAGCAGCGGCGCCTCCGGCAAGGAGGTCCTCGCCATCGGCTCCGCCGACGCCTCCATCGTCTCCGCCCGCCAGTTCGCCGGCACCTTCAACCTCGACGGCCAGTCCAACCGCACCATCCTCGGCTACCGCCCCGCTGAGGACCTCTTCCCCGCCGACATCGTCGGCTGGCCCATCGTCCCCGTCACCCTCAACATTAGCGTCGAGAACGACGCCTGCGAGCCCCTCGCCGAGGGCATCAACTTCAACAACACCATCCCGCTCGTCCGCTTCGACGAGGGCTGCGAGGACTGGGAGCGCCAGCGCTGGGTCCAGGAGCGCGGTGCAAAGTTCATGCTCTTCTACCTCACCGACCGGGCCGTCCTCGGCCACTCGGGCCGCGGCTGGGCGCAGAGCCGCTGGGGCCTGCTGTCCAAGGACGCCGGCGAGGCCATCGTCAAGACGTACATCGCCGGCGGCAACGTCACCGCCGACTTTTCCCTCGACCAGAATAGCAACTACGTCGCCATGTACAACGCCGGCGGCGGCAAGCCCTCCACCTTCACCTCCTGGGGCGGCACCTTCGACCTCGAGCTCAAGCCCGATGTCACCGCTCCGGGCGGCCGCATCTTCGCCCCCTTCGTCGGCGGCCGCTACAGGGATCTCTCTGGCACATCAATGGCATGCCCGTACGTCGCCGGCGTCGCGGCGTTATACATCTCCGCCCATGGCGGCCGCTCCGTGCACGGCGCCGGCTTCGCCAAGACGCTGGCCAACCGCATCATCGCGTCTGGCCGCGCGGTCCCTTGGTCCGTCGGCACCACGCGCGACTTTGGCTTCTGGGCGCCGCCGATCCAGGTCGGCAGCGGCCTGATTGACGCCGTCGCCGTCCTCAACGCGACTTCGCAGCTGTCTGGGGAGACCAAGTTCGCTCTCAACGACACGAACCACTTCTCGCGGTACCACGAGGTCGACATCAGCAACACGGGCACCACGGAGCTGGAGTACCGGTTCCAGGTGCAGGCTGCGGGCGGGTTTGAGTCTTACTGGACACCTGAGGCTGCTTCCAACCCCGAGCTGATTGGTGTGCCTCGCATCAAGGACTTCATCGAGATCGAGCCGTTCAAGATTGATGCTGTTGTCGGTCTGCCGTCTGGAACCTTCAAGGTCGGACCTGGCGAGACCAAGACTGCCAAGTAAGTCACCTTTCATTGTGATGACATATCCCAGACGAGATCGGTGGAACTGACATTGTAACAAGGTTCTCTTTCGACATTCCCCAAGGCCTTAACTCCTCTAGACTTCCCATCTGGAGTGGAAAGGTTCTCATCAGTGCCAGCAACGGTGATGTTCTCTCCGTGCCCTACTATGGTATGTCACTTGGTATCTAAGTATGTCGGCTTTTCTGACCATCATACAGGCGTCGGTGGAAGCATCAAGCACGACATTGTCGACATGTTCTACACCTCCATGGGCTATCCCCGCATTGCCTCTGGTCTCAACAGAACTCTCATCTCCGAGAAGTCAAGGTAAGTCCTTGACTTTGTCTAACTCGTAATCGTATGACCTAACACAAAGACAGCTTCACCTTCGACCTCTCCCTCGCCGCCCAGGACTTTGTCAGGCTCCAAGTCGCCTTGACCTGGGGCACCCGCGAACTGCGCTGGGATGTAAGCCCACCACCTCCCTCTCTAAAATTCTGACGCCCAGTATCCTAATCACCGCCCCAGATCTATGAGCCTTCGTACCAGGAACGCGAATGGGCCTACCCTCCCGTCGTCGGCGAGAACAAGTACATCGGCTCCGTCGCCTCCTTCGACGTCTACAACACCGTCAACTACCCCAACTTCGACCCCGCCACCGACAGCGTGAACAACACCTTCTCCTACCCGCTGCAGTACCAGCCCCGCGACTCTCCATACGAGTCCTGGTGGCTCGGTAAGCTTGCCGACGGCTCTCAAATCAAGCCCGGCAAGTACAAGTAAGTGTCCCTGGTCACGAGAGTGTGCTTTGCAAGTGTCTGACTCGGAATCTAGGATGCGCATCGCTGCCTTGGTTCCGTTCGGGAACCCCAAGGCGTCGGATAACTGGGAGATCTACGAAACCCCCGTGATTGAGGTCCTTCCCCTTCCCAGCAACTCTACTGCTGCACTTCGTCACAGGAGGATGTGAAGCAATCTAATGTAATCCAAGCCATGTTTCCCGAGCTGGATCTGCCGGCTTGTGGCTATTATTATTATGCATAAGACGTAATACAAAGTCAACTTTCCTAATCACAACGTAACCATAAACTCTCCTGTCGCACCCTCATGCGTGATATCCACTTGTGCGAAGCCTCAAAAGAGCCTACGCACATCCAGCACTCGCCAACGCAGCCGCCTTCTCGTTCTCCTCACGCGAAACAAGCCAAAACTCAACAGCAACGCCCCAGTCAAACAATCCCGTCAACTTTGCCACCAAAACGTCCCACAGGTCCTTGTTCTTGACAGGCTGCTTCGACGCAGTCTTGAATCCGTTCTTCAGCCACTTGCGCATGTGCGGCTCCTCCCCATTCTGTCCGCCGCCCACGGTCTCCACGAGGTACGCCGAGTCGGACTTTAAGATGACATGCTTGACCATGCACGGCGGCTCGTCGGGGTGGCCAGAGCAGTCCCACTGGCCGCCGCCCCCGCAAAAGGGCATCACGGCATCGAGGCCCGCGATGGCCGCCCGGATAGCCTCGCGCTGGGCGCTCGGCCTAACGCCGTCCTCCTCGTCGACGTGGCGTTGGATGTTGTGGGGGTTCTGGTGGCCAAAGTAGACGCCGTACCCGGACTCAGTGTTACCGGCAGCAGTGAGGCGGGCGGTGCCGGAGATGGCGACGATGAGAGAGTCGATGTGGCAGGCGTGGTAGCCGCAGGAGGCGCAGCCGTTGTTGTGGCCCGGGCAGCGGAGGTAGACGAAGGGTTTGGTGCCGCCATCTTCAGGGTCGAGAGTGTCAACTTCGAGGTGGGTGAGGTCGTCGAACTGGCTGGCCAGGGATTGTGGGAAGCGGCTGAAGATGGAGGTAAAGCCCGAGTCGAAAATGGGCTCGTAGCCGCGGTGGTACTTCTGGCGCTGGCGTGGACCTCGTCCGCTGTGAGAGCGTCGTCGGAGCAGTCACAGACTGACATTGTGGATGATGGGCGGTGTTGTTTGCTGTTGTTTGTTACAAACAATCGAGTATGATGAAGTATTAGAGATGTGAAATTTGGACTACTCCATAGGACGGCAGATGGGCTTTATAGAATCTCGCTCACAAGCAAGGCAGATGGATGGTGGTCGAAGAAGTGAAGCGGAAGGGCCGAGACGACCCTACCTTCTGCCTTGCGAGGATATCTCGTCATAAATGAACTGGGTGTTGGAACTCATTCTTTGAAAGGCATCGTTGCCAAACCCGCAGGAAGTCTTAAATAGGGTCTCTGAGAAGGGCCTGGTGGTCGGTCACCTCTCGGGAGGCTGAAAGGCAACTGAAACGGATTCACAAAACCCAGCTATGGTAGAGGCTAGGCAGAATCCGTAGAACTGTGCCGTTAACTATTTTCGTGGCGCTTGTTAACGATAGGTATCTTTTGAAGAGAGCGATGGCCAGCAATGTCAACTTCATAAGTGTGTGTACTTCTGGGTTCAACGACCATACTTGGTTCGGTATTGAATAACCTCCAATCTGTCTCAGAATTGAAGTAACGCCATCGCTTTTGAAAGAGCGTGGGCTTCATGCCACCCCCACCAATATTGTGACGCTAAAGAGAGGTTGCGATCCTTCCTCTCGACCAACTCTAGATTCAGCCAGCGTCCCTCGCGCAACGCATCGTTTACAAGCTTGTCCGCATCCCGGTTCATATGCCGAGGCACATGCCAAAACTGCACGAAGACTCCCATCTTGCGAAGGTAGATGAGTTCGTGGCCCAACTCCGACCAAAGCATCAAGTTCTTCACTGCTTTGTTTTTGACCGACCGAAAGTCATTCGAAATCCACTTCGATATGTGTGCCTGCTCTCCGTTCCTTCCTCCACCAACGGACTCAACGACATACGCAGAGTCCGATTTGATCACGATGGATTTGTATTTCGCCTTGGCCCCTTGGAAATCGCACAAATCTCGTGCAATCTTGAGGGCAACGACGGCGGCATATATCTCTGCTCGGTTGTTTGTGTGTCCCGCAAAGCCAGCAAGTTCATCCGGGATTCGTGCGCTCATGTTATTCCCGTTTCCCGGGCCAAAGTAGACTCCAATCACTGACGCCATTGCCCCGTTCCCATTGTGCGGGCAAGCACCATCGACCGCGATGACGAGATAGTCAGCATGCCCATGCAGATAAGAGCTTTCCTGAGTCATGGGACAGCACACATGGACGAAGCCGGAGTCGAAATCTCTGAGCTCGAGGTCGGGCCAGATAGAGCTTGGATAACGGCGATGCTTGGATTCTACGGCATATCGACTAAAAAGCGGTGGCCGGGATGGGCCACTGGTGGTTGTGGTAGAACAACCGGAATGAAATTCGGTACCTTAAAGAATGGTGCAGTACGTCGCTGCTGCTGGCTTCGATCGGGGCATCCATCTCCTCCTCGTGTTCATATTGCCTTGCGTGTGAGCGTTGAGCATGGTCTGTACTTAGAGTTGGAATGACTTGACTGATCAAATGGCCGAAAGAGGAGGGAAGGAGAGTAACAGTCACTTGGAAGCGTGTGCGAGGGTTGGCGATTCAGCTTTAAAGGCCAGGGAGGCTCCCAGGGCTCTCGAGACACCTCCCTCGTTTCCTCATTTCGCTTCCGTTGAAAAAAAAAAAAAAAAACCCAATGGCTTTGCGCAAAACGTACGCTGTGCTCCGCTGAATGACATTCCGTTGCATGTAAGTTTTCCCACCGTACAGAGTAAGTCGAATTGCATTGCTGGCGTAAAAACCAGTACAAACGGATGGACAAAAAAATTGCTAGAAGATCCATGGATACCGCAAAATGCAAAAATGTTCCGAAACCGAGAATCGAACTCGGGGCTATGCCTAACCTCTCGGGGTAATGAGAGGGCATCATGTTGGCCACTACACCATATCGGATTGGTTGATGACAAGGTTGGTGAATCCGAACACTAAGTACCGGTGGGGCGTGGCTGCGATGGAGCCTACTGCAGTTTTGGGCGTCGACACGTTTTCTGAGAATTCAAAATGCAACTTTGTTCAGAAATTCTGGAGCAATAGGCCAAAATTTCCGCGTGCTTTGCATGGCTGCCTTGTGCAAGCCCTCAAATGTTGCATCTTCCCCGGGATGGAGGTGTCGTTGTTGCACAACTCCAACCTACCTACACCCAGCCGGAAAACACCAAGCCTTCAGTTAAATTTTACGACGTTCGCTTTTACGGTCCGAGCGTCTGCCTTTCTTACGAAGGATGCAGCCCTACGGCGTCAAACTGCCCAGGGTGGCGCATCCCACCAGGACGGATTGGGCAAGCTTCACGGCGCCCTTGAGCAGATTGGAATGCTAGACCGGAACTCAAACGATGGATGGATGGCTGCCGTGTCGCGCTATGAATCTTGGTGCTCCTCCCGTAAGGAGCTGAGCAGGGAAATGGGATGGAATGTGGGAAGGGATGTGTCGTGATCCTTCGGGGGATCCTGCGGACGTGGAATGTGTATAAATTCAACGACATGTCTTGGACTTTCTCTGCCGATTTTGTTCTGACTGCTCTCTTGTGTTCGTGAAAGTAGGAGGAAAGGCAGCCTGTCCGTATACCCTCCACATTATGAATACTCCGGCCCCGAAAACAGTCGTTATTATCGGCGCCGCCATCGCCGGTCCGACCCTCGCGCTCCACCTCCTTACACACCCCGTTCTCCGCACCCGCTTCCGTCCGATCCTCTTCGACCAATCTCCACCCCCAGCTCCGATCCCGACCGCATCCTCCAAGTCCAACGGCACGGGAACGGGACCGGGATCGGAATCCTCCCCCTCGACTACATCCCATCACCAACGTGCCGGCGCCTCCGTCGGCCTCTTCCCGAATGGCTTGCATCCCCTATTCTCCCTTGGTCTTGGCGACGCGCTCAAGAAACACGGCCATGAATGCGATGACTTGGCTCTTTGGTTCGGAGAGATCACTGAGGGCTGCAAGTTGTCGCATCTCAAGACCGCGAGGAACGGGTTTTGGTCTCACGACTTCCAGCTAGGCGCGATGTACTTTGAGCGAGCTGGCTTACAAGCTCTCCTCATCGATCGCGTGCTCCAGCTAGGTGGTGAGGTGAAGTGGTCCAAGAAGGCGGTTCAGTTCGAAGCTGTACCTTCGTCTGGTGGTAAGCAGACTCGTGTGGATTTCGCCGATGGTACACATATCGAAGTCGACCTTCTCGTTGGCGCGGATGGTGGCTACTCTCAGGTTCGTCGACACCTTCTCAACCTCAGAGATCCAAAGACGGCAGAAAACAGATGGCTTCCTGACTTCATGGGCACCACTGGCATCTACGGTATCTCTTCAGCAGACAAGATGCCGTCAACACATACACCTGAGCGTCCCTTCACAGAGTCCCAGTGCATCTTCCTCAAGGAGGGGTTCCTGGCTACTGGTCCATGTCCGGGGAGGATGTTTCGGTGGGATCTCATCCTGCCTGAGTCAACACCACCAGGCCCAAGCTCTGCATCTCTGGAGTCTGAACCCGCTGTGGCGCCAACGCCATCATCTCCGTCAGCCACGAAACAGGAACAAGAGCCTTGGCTGGCAGCCATAACGCCAGGCCAATATCCCACATCCACAACGGCTGAGATGCTCCGCCGCCACCTGCGCCTCAAACACCCCTTCACAGGCGACTTTGAGACGATGCTCAACAGCTCGGACCGTATCATCCACACTCCTCTGCGGCAGCGTGTGTGGAAGGAGGACGAGATCCAGTGGACTAGCGACAGCAACATCGTTCTCATCGGCGATGCTGCGCGGTTGATGCTTCCCACCAGTGGCCAGGGAACAGGGTTTGCCATTGAGGACGCAACTGTGCTTGCAAGCATGCTTCTCAAGCACTGCTCGGCAACAGAAGCAGAGGCCGGAGCAGAAGATGGGTTCTCCTCTGCGCTGGAAGAGTATGCTCGCCTCAGGAGACCAAGGTCTGAGAAGATGGCGACGATGGCGTCTTGGATTGGAGTCGTAGGACTTGGTAACACGTGGTATTACAAGCTCTTGAGGTATGGAAGTGCTAAGTTGACTCCTGGTGTGGACTTGAAGTAAGTTGTTCTCGGAATCCATTGAGTTGAAATTGCTGACCGAGCTAGAACCAAGAAAAACCCAGACCCGTGGCCGATGGATGGGCGTTTCAACGTTGAAGAGAGCTCGAAGTAGACGAAAACTGTTCCAAATGCTATTCCATATTATCAAGAGCGTCTTTCTGGGGTGTCTTAAATGAGACTTCGCCCAGCTCTTATTATTGAAAGAAGCTGTTGGACGTTTAGTTATGTCTGCATGATACCTTTCCATTATTCATAGAGGAAAATATGTTGGCAGGATCTGGTTAGCTTCGAATAAACTCCTCTTCTCCATCGTCTCCGTTCTTCATCCTTCGTCTTGTATTCATTGGTAATCACCGGCGTCTGCCATCAATGGGTTTTCCAAGACGCAGCTTGTCGTGGTTGCCAGCTTGACCTGCAGTTGTCAAGGCCCTCTGTTTCTTCGCACAAATGCATTCACAAGGAAGATCAACCGCAATGATTGTCTCTTCGACGATATTCTAGTTGCTTGAACTCCGATTTTATACTGTGGAGTTTGCGTCCCGTCTTCCTTGATGCCAGCCCCAAATCACGACACGCTGCAATTAGTTACATTGCCAGACGGTGGCTGCGACGATGGCCACAGCGAGAAAACTGCAGGATGCGGAGAAGTCACTTCGCATGAATGATGCTAACATCTGATAAAAGCTGGTTCCTTGAATGGTTGGAGTATATAAGATTTACCTGAGAAAGGTGTGATCTAGCAACCGCAATCGACGACGGCGGACGACGGACTCAATGAAATGGGATTGAGTGATTCACTACCTGGCGTAAACCTTTCGAGACAACGACTATACGGGTCGGATTCCTTTTTAATCAATTGGAAAATCTATCCGTTTCCTCTGGCGTCCACAACGTATTATCACGTCTGCGCTACCGTATTCGCTTTTCGAAGAATACGCAGCAACCTAGTCAACTACCTCAATGGACAACACAGACATCCCAAACACTCGAGGATCCAAAGCCAGATGCGTTCCTGACAAATAATGCGTTCAAGGAACCAGAGAGGAGAATTTGATTTGTTCCTGGCGGGGATTCTCGAAAGAGACGTTGTTATTTTATAGTTGCAAAGACACAGCTGAGGCATCAAACTAGGCCGCGTGCGGAAGGATAACCGCAAACGGAAACACCGTCACTGTGAACTTTCCGAGCCATGCTTATGTTGACTTCAAGGCAACGGTTTTGCTAATTGAGTTTGGTACCAGACAATAAACGGCTGCAGTACAACTTGAGAACGGGAAGGGTTGAGCACCAGATGGCTCGCGCAACGCAAAGACCGGCAGCTTGGACGTGTGCGACTGTGGATATATCCGGCTTGCTCCAGTAGCACAAATACGATAGTTTGTCCAACCGTGCCATCCTCCATCAAGTTTTCTGTGTTCTTTAAAGCTCAGCAGAAGGTGTTCAACCGTGGGTGAGGCTGAGTGATGCCGTCTCGGTACACCGGTCTATAATAAGGACATGGATAGTCTCGAAAGCCATGATACGACAAGATTACATCTGTTTTCTATCATAACACTAACGATTCTGAATATCACGATCTAGTCTGGGTGGCTTTGCAACTGCGGAATGGCTTGAAGTCAACATCTATCCACAATCGTTTACAAGACCCGATCTCAGCTGGCATCACCCAAGACGTCTCTGGCTCAAGCCCATCCAGACCCCCTGAAGCAAACGGAACCAGCCCAGACCGCCTCTTGGTTCTCATCCACGGACTCGTCGGACATTTTCCTACGAGGAGCTTTGATCAAGGCAGCCCACAAGGCAGAGCGTACTCCATAAAAGCGAACCAATATCTCTGCCGATCACTCTCTGTTTCCTATGAGTTGGTAACATTCCCTCAACCTCGTTTACAAATATCAAAAGGTCCCACCGGCAGAAAACATCCAAACTTCATTGGCAAATGTTACATATTACACGAAAGGAGAGGAGGTCAAAGAGTTTCCGCGGGATCGACAGAAGCCTTCCAGAAACATACAGCCCGGACACGACGCCAGAAAACTCCACCGCGATACCGCGTTCCTACCTTAGCCCACTGTAAACTGGATGGGGAGGGTACCCATCCCTCCATCTCAGCACGTTGCAGCGTAGTGTACCTCGGGAGATGGCATGTCTGTGTGCGCGCAGCGGCCCTTGTTCAATATCGGAAAGTGAACGGGACGGCGGTCAAGAGAGGGACAGAACCACAGAACCACAGACCGCAGGCGCGGCCGACCATCGCGTTCATCAATCTCACAAAAAGAAACCAAACCCCAGCGACGATCGCAAAAGGTAGGGCGCGCACGCGCTGACAACGGCAAAGCGACATTGACATTGCATTGCCGATGGAGACCGCAGAAACGCACGTAAGGCTTCCTCTGTCGCTTCCCTTCCCGAGTCCGAGCTCCTTCAGCTTTCTTTCCAGCTTCTGGGAGCTCATGTGGCGATCGGGGGTTGTCGAGGGGGGTTGTCGAGATGGGCAATTTCTTTTTTTCCGATGTTTCTTCTCCCCCATCTCTGACCATCACCCCCCCCTTGCTGCTGGGCTTATGTTTGTTTGTCTTATCAGCCGCGCACACCCACAGGTCACCCGCAGTTGTCAAAAGAAGGATCGAAGGTCACTTTGCAAAAGAAAAAGAAATAACAAAGGCCCAGATCCACGGGTCTCAGAATCCAATACATTTCGCATAAACATTTCAGTACGTTTCTCTGGCAAATGCCCCAATCTCATCAATCCAATAGCGGAGCGGGGGCCCGTCCACCCGTCGCACCCCCAAGATACCTGCCTAGGTATGGAGCCCAAGAGAGTTCAGCAAGCGAACATCGCGATCATCCGTTCTAAGCCCCCGTTTGGTGCTCTCGATATCTAATTTTGGGCGCGACCGCGATGGGATTTACTTGGGAAAAGAAGAAGTCCACTTGGCGCTATACTTATTCGGCAGAAGATGTGCTTTAGACATCGGATGCCGAGTTGTGTGGGCATTACTCTTGTGTCGTGTGTTCCCACCGTCGCGAACGACGGCGGCGCGACGGACAGCGACGAACGGGCTCCCACCCCCCTTCCCGCGCTCCCGCGGGCGCGGGCGGCGGCGGCGGCGTCGGGCGACGGTGGGCAAAGCCCAGTGGCACCCAGCGAAAGCTGATCAACTGCCGTATGAAACGGGGTCCCCGGATAGGAATCAGGATTGCATTGCATTCGAGGGGGCTTATCTGCCTGCTCTCGGCGCTTTATTTTTTACAACTTGGTTCTTGGTTCGCGTAGGGGAGACAGACACGAGGCGACGCGAGCCGATGCAAGGAGAACGAGAGGAACCGTTTCTCACGCTTCCGCGGCCCCTTGCGCGCTCCCCTTACCGCAATCGATACGCTTATTCCCGGGTTGTTTTTCAGTCGTTGTGTTGTGCGATGATCTGCAATTATGCCAATGTGATCAATCTTCCTGTCCGGCGCTATCACAGCACCGTCCCATCGTCCCATCTCGCGCTTCTGTTGTTTATCGGGCCAACCAACGTCCATTCTGCCACCAAAACCTCAGATGCCGATCTTTTCGTATTGAACGGTTCGAGAAAAGGTCCCCCCGTCCCTCCCACAAAATATTATGCAGCGTGAGTGGCCCGCTGGGATTCTTGGTCGTGTGGGTTGGGGTGACATGGCATAATAAGGTAAACTTGGCAACCCCTCTCCCACGCCGCCGACCGTCTCCGAATGCAAGGTACAAAATGGTACACGCATTTACAATGGAAAGAAGAGAAGTGCCCACAGGTCTTTTCAGGGGAAGGGAGCGCCGCTGTGTGGTCTGTGGTCTGCTGGGGGGAAGGGAACAAGGGGAGGGCAGGGGACTTTGGTTCCCGACTTGCCCGAAGACTCGTCCGACCCGAAGTGTCACCGTGACAGATTGAAAAATCGAGTGTCCACAGAACCACAGTAAAATAAAAAGAAATAAAAAAGCAAAGCCCCTATTCTTATCCCCGGTTATCTGTTCCTCGTAGGGAAAGAGAGGGACCACGTTTTACACTTAAACGATACGGTTTTTTTCTTTGCCTCTCACGTGTTGTACTGTCCGTCCAAGGTGCAAGGCCAGGGGAATTTCTCGCCTGCACACGTTACAACGGAGAACGCTGGCAAGCTGGCCCATTTTCGGATCCAGTCTTTTACGGAGGACTCCGATCACGGTAGCAACCGAGGACAGGAACGGATGGGAATTGTTATGACAAATGGGATTGTTTGTTTTTGTGCAGAGGCTTGCTTTTTATGCGTTCGGGAAAAAGTCCGGGGTTCGTCCGTCCGTGTTGCCGAGGCCGGCTATTACCTTATGCACTCAACCATGACTGGGGACGGTGCTAAACTGAACGTTTCGAGATTTGCTGATGACTTCACGTGTTGATGATGCATGCAATTAATCGGACTGATTTTTTTTTTATGATATTGAATCTTTAATTTGATAGGTGGTTGTATGGTATCACTGCGAAACTTAGCCTGCGCCCTTGCTGAAAATCTACTTACATGTAAGACATCATGTCTTGCGTACACCTTTTCATGGGAGAGACATTACATGTGCGAGACAGATAAGAGAATACATTATACTCACCAGACCACAAAAAACGACGCATGAGTGCCTTCTCAACTTTGCGAGGGAAAGGGAGGAGAGGTGCCGGGGCGGGTATGAGATAATTACAGAGCGTTATGAAGAAGAAACAAATTCAACTTGACATGGGGGGTGGGTATGTATGATGTATGTGCATGTTCTCCCCTTCGTTGCGGTATCCTGATATTATCCCAAACTCCTCGCGAAACTGGCGTCATTGATATAAACGGAAAAGCAAACATGGTTCTTTGGGTCTGGCACGCAGTACACCCGTCATCCTTTTTTCTTTTCAAATGTCAAAAACATTTGACGATCGACAATCTCTTTTTTCAAATGAAGCTGCGGCCCATTGCTTATGCCATGAGGGCAACGGCGGCGGCGACGGAGGCAGCGATGAGGCCGAGGCTGGCGCCGAAGGAGGCGGGGGCGGCGCTGCTGCTGCTGTCGCTGTTCTGGTTGTCGGCGGCCTTGGAAGCCTCGGTGGTGCCGTTGGGGCAGAGCTTGGTGCCGTCGAGGGCGGCGAAGGGGATGACGGCGCGGGGCTGGCCGGCCTTCATGTACATGGTGACGTTTCCGGTGCCGTCGGCGGTGGACTCGCCGCAGGTGGTGATCTCGACGACCTGGTCGCCGGGGTTGAAGCCGCCGACGGAGAGCTGGTAGGTGTCGCCCTTCTCGCCCTTGTTGGTGATGCAGAAGACGACCTGGGCACCGTCGGGGCCCTTGCGGAGGCACAAGTGGGTCTCCTCGACGAAGAGCTGCTCGGAGGCGGTGGTGGCGAAGGACTTGTCGAGGGACTGGAGCTTGTTGCGAGCGCCGAGAAGGGTGGAGGTGAGCTCGTAGAGGGGCGCGGAGGTGTCGTACTTGGACTGCCAGAGGGGCTCACGGTTGAAGGGGGTGCTGTTGCCGTTGAAGTGCTGCTCCTGGCCCTGGTAGACTTTGGGGTTTGTTAGTCATGTCACCATGTAGTAGACAGCAGGGGCTTGCTTACCAGTGGGGATACCATCAGTGAGGAGGATGTAGGCAAGAGCGTTCTTGGCGAGGGACATGTCCTCATCGTAGACGGCGAAGCGGGGCATGTCGTGGTTCTCGGTGAAGGAGCCGAGAGCGAAGATGTCGGTGCAGCCGTCGCGGGCCTCGCCACGGAGACGGGCAAGGTCGTTGAGGTCGCCGCCGAAGAAGACGGTGCTGAGGGGGTAGTACTCGACGTAGTTGGGCATGCCGGGGAGGAGGTTCTTGGTCTGGTAGCGGCAGAAGTCCTCAGTCTTACCGGTCAGGACCTCACCGAAGGCGAAGACACCGGAGGCGTTGACGAATCCGGGCAGGAAGTCATCGTTGACGTGCTTGGCGGCGTCGATACGGAGACCGTCAATGGAGTAGTTGGAGACGAGCTCCTTGATCCATTTGCCAAACTCGGTGACGACGGCGGTGGACTCGGTGGCCAAATCGGCAAGGGCGACACCATAGGGGTAGAGCCAGCAGTCCTGGTAGTCGGTGCTGTTGGTCCAGTCGGTGACGTTGCAGTAAGGGTGGAAGTACTTTTCGTCGTTGAAGGGGTTGAACTTTGAGTAGTCGAGCTTGGGGGGCAGGGAGTCGAGCTTCTGGACCATGTTGTTGACGACGACGTCGACCATGATGTACATGTCGCGGTCGTGGATGGCCTTGACGAGGTCCTTAAAGTCCTGCTGGGTGCCGAACTTGTCGTTGGTGGCGTAGTTGTCGAGGGACCAGTAGCCGTGGTAGGCCTCGCCGACGGCGGTGTTCTCGTCCATGTTCTGGACGATGGGGCTGATCTGGATGGCAGTGAAGCCCATGTCTGAGGGTCGTTGTCAGTATTGGGTCAAGGTGAGTCTCGGTGAGTGTGAACTCTATCGGGTATGTCCATATGAAGCTGATGGGGGATCATGATGATGGCGATGTGAGTCTGCGGGCCGTGTCGTCTTACCCTGAATGTAGTCAAGCTTGTTCATGAGACCCTTCCAGGTACCACCGCAGAACTTGTAAAGCTCGCAGGTCTGGTCGGTAGAGCCATCGTCGTGAGCGTAACGGTCAATCATGACCTGGTAGATGGAACGGGACTTCCACTCGTCGACGTCAGCAGCCCGGGTGAGGGCGCTGAGGGCCGTGACGGCGGCCCAAGCCAAAGTTGAGGTGCGCATATCGAACAATGAGTTTTGTTTTTGAATTATAAAATTTAACGAATGACTGCGCCGTCTGAAGGCGTGAATTAGGGATTGACTTTTGATGATTCGACGTGCGTTGCGGACGTACGTGAAGAAAGGAATGAATTGGGTCAGGAAGGATTGCGGCGCGCGCAGAAACACGGCGATATAGAGTTTTGGGGAGTCGACAGACAGAGAGAGAGAGACAGGAAGGATCGGGATGGACGGACGAAACGAGCGAATGGGAGTCCCTTGAATGGATTTGGAGAGCAGCGGACGACCTAGGAACCCGTATCTGGATTGGGAAAAGGGGTGGGAAGGGGAAAACTGGGTTGATTAAACGAGTGACTGGTTCTGGTGGTAAGGCGTGGAGACGGGTTGGCAGAGGGGGGCGAAGCGCGTCAAGCAGGACATTGGACATTGGCAGACCATACACAGTGATTGACAGCAAACACGAGGAGGGCAGAATGAAACTACCTTGGCCACTAGCTACGGACTATGGGGAGCCCAACGAGAGAGCCAATGAAGAAATGCGAGATCCGCGGGTGACACTGCCGTGGACTGCGCGGAGAGGGGAACAGACGGCACGGCACAACAGACCGAAGAGATGGGATGTGAGTGACGGGATCATGGATGGTGATTCGTGCGAGTTGGGCACTGGATGAGATCACGGTTCCTGACTGCTGCAGGTACAGAGGCACTAGGGGAATAGACAGTTGATGGTGGCAGCGACTAATACCAGGCAGTACAGATACGCACTCCGCAGTACTTCTGCAGAGAGACAAAGGTAGGGTGGAATGGGAGCACGAGGCGGAGGAGGGTGTCTGTGTCTGTCAATGTCGATGCCTCGGATCGGATGGGATGATTGGCAATGGGATGGCAAAGGCCCACTCTGGGGGGCTAAAATGGTCGATTCCCATGACCAACAAGTGGTCGAGGGGAAATTGAACCCAAGCGAGATATATAAGAAAGGACCGGGGAATACGATACTGCGTACGGAAGCCAAGCCGGGGGTAGGTGGTGGTGGTGGTGGGTGAGGAATGCGTGGAAGCACTAGAAGATGGGGTGGAAGTCCGCCCTTCATCGTCTTTTTTCTCTCACTTGAGACAGACTGAGCTGATGGCAGAAACTGGCAAAAGGAGAGACAGTCGTGGCGCCAAGCAGAGGCTCAGTTAAGGTGCTGATTTATGCATTGCGATTGAAAGAGATTTTTGATGGTGGTCAGCAGCACTTCCGCGGCCGCATCGAAGTTGATGCCGGCGGCCAGTGGTGGTGTGGTGTGAGGTGAGGAAAAAAGACCGTCGTCCGCGGCGCAGCAGGAGGAACAAATTGCAACTGAGGCCGTCTGCATGCTGTCATTGGACGGAAAGCTGAGGTGTGCACATCTCGAAAACAGCAGGTACGTACATGCAGTCTGTACCTTACATAGTACTCTCTCTGTACTGTAAATGCCAATGCACAATGGCAGCAGGTGCATGGACGAGCCTGCTTGAAAATGAGCGAAAAGGCGGCTTTCCCCTGCCAAGAGGCCCGCCAGCGCCGCCAACGGTGCGGCCTTGGAAGGACCTTGGAACTTTGTGCGCAGAGATGGAGGGGTCTTTCCCGATTGGGCGTGGTGGCACCACGATCGTGGGAGTTGGATTTCGGCAGTGGCTCTGGGAGCTTGAGGGACCGCCGATAGTGCGCGCTGCTGCTGTTGATGTTGGCGTTGGCGCCGCGACTTGGCGGGCTTTTTGTTACGAGAACGTTTTGCTCTCACTACTCGTGCTGACCAAGTGGTTTTCTTGGTGCGGCCTTGGGAGCTTCCTTGGTAGCTTGATGCGCTTGTTCCTGCAGCATGACAATTACTTGTTGTTGACGTTGGCGCGGTGGCGTGTACGGATAAGCTTGCTGAAGCTTCTTCTTGTTTACTTGGTCCTCTTGGGAGAAGCTTGACGGCATGGTCGACGGCCATGTTCCTGGTTGGCAGCCAGCAGTGCCAGCAGCCATAGGTAGCTGCCGTTCAGTCTAACAAAACTCTGACGGCCTCTATTACGGCCTTATTTAGAGTAGACGCAGAGAGCACCTACATGACGACGAGACGTATGTATGTACTGTACTGCGATATGGTCGACGACGACGCGACGGGCGCTGCACCTGTATGTAGATGAGCGATAAGCAAATCAAAGGGAGCCAGACATGTGGTTGGTCACCGTTCAAATAGACGGGGTTGCAGCAGCTCAGTAATGAGGGTGTGCTGGGGCATGTCGGTGAGAGACGTGGAGGTAAGGTACGGATAATGGCAGAATGGCAGGTACAAAGTATCTTGAGGTACCTTAATTTTTGGGACTCCTCCCACTCTAGGTTCCTACCTACCTGCGGACCTTAGGTAAGCATCCCGAATTCTGCGAGACGTCCGCTCCTCTCGTCCGTTCCCCTTCTCTTCGACCTCGCCCAAACTCAATGGCACCAAGCTCTTCAAACTCTATAAAATGCCTCGGGGCATCCCCCTCCGACGCGCGGGTGGCGGAGATGCTCAGCTCTGCGACCTCCTGGACGGGGCTTCTTCACGATCGATGGGACCTGGGAGACCTCCTGAAAACCTCAAAAACATGGGAGCTCCCAGACGCCTCAGCCCTCCGCCTCAGCCTGCCATGCCATGCCGCAGCGCACCTAAGCGGTCTGACTGATCCCAAGAGAAACTGACGGCAACAGGCCGCGCCGCCGCCGCAGGGCGAGCCCGGGCAATCAGACATGACCAGGGCTCCTTTGACAGACAGGGCACGCCACCAGAAAAAGGAGGGCGTCTGGACTTCAGCTCGGCCGGGCATCTGGTTTAGGCGAGCTTCTGAATGATTTCTTCTGCTTCTGCACCCCAATTTGCCCTGTTTCAGCGCGCCCAGAAGAGAATCCAGCACCGTCAGCCCAGGACCTGTGGCCATAATTACCCGCTCCAAGACTTTCAAGCCCTGAAGGGCTCTCCAGAGTCCCTGACTCGCCCGCCACTTCGACCGCGCTCTTGGTCTGCACCGCCAATCACTGCGCACACAGGGCACCTGGTGGACGCTGGACACGCTGGAGAGCAAAAAGCGCCCCCTTGTCGCACCCAGAAACTGCTACCGCCCTGGTCCCCGTCGACAGGTGCAGCTGCAGCAGCCACGAACCCCGGTCGGCGGTGTCGGGGGTGCCTGGCAGTTCTCGTCCCATTACAGGATACTTCCTCGTGCCTAAGTGGGGGGCGGATGGGGCGTCTGTGGATCGCAATGGAACGTCTTGGGACGCCATCCCGGCTCCTGTGGCTGTTGCGAGGCGTGCGCGAGGAAGGACCAACCTTAGGTCCTGCAGGATCATTTAGAAAACGGTGGTCACCACTGCGATCTGTGGCTGATGCCGTCCTCCGCGGAAAAAGGATTGGCCAAGAGATCCCCGATAGCGATCCACCACCACCCCACCAGGTGTGGCTCGGCTCTCTCTCTCTCTCGACGATACTGCTTGACACTCAATCGCCGCCAAACTGTGAATTATCCACATCCACATCTGCCAGCCGCCATCCACACCCGCTTCTCTCGCCATGTCTCGTCTGCCTCGCGCTCCGTCCTAACGAAAGTGCCTCCGTCGCCCACGCACCTCTGCTAGTGCTCGGCCCGGCTTGCTTTTTCCCCTTCTGCCGCCCTGCGCATCCCATCCTTCTGGCATCCTTCTGCTGCCAGGCACACTTTGCACACTGCATGCACCAAGACCAACGCCAGAGACAAAACCATGGCAGCCCAGCAGCACGCTATCCTAGCCTTGCGCCGCCAACGCGACCCGACGTCACAATCATGATCCAACGGGCGTACCATCTTGTTTCTGGCTTGGCTCAGTCCACCGTCCATCGCAGACAGACCTCACTGGACGGCGCGGCGCGACTGTTTCCAATCTCAACACACGCACCACACGCCATCACAGTGCTGCCGAGCACCGTCGACGCCTGTCCGCCGCCCCCAAGCATAAACGTTTATGCCACTTGAGATGAACCCATCACCCATCCAGTTCGACTGACCGCCCATCCCACGCCAGAAAGCCACACCGCGAGAGAGGCCGCGTGCCCGGCGTCTGCTGGCGTCTGTCAGTGTCAAATTTCCACCGTGCTCTTTGTTGATGGGCCCTTGAGCCTCAGTTATTCCCGACTGGGAAATCAACGGCTCCGAATAATCTTGTCGCGCATGGATGATCCGTCCTGACAGCCTGGCTCGTCTCCAACGTCTCGTATTCTTGGGCCTCAGAGAGGGGAACCACCCAAAACTAAAACTGACTCGATACAGGCAAGCACGTCCTCCATCCACCCACGCGACCGGGGGCCCGACTGACAGCGGATACCTCGACCGACGACGGAGCTCGCCCGAATCAACCAACAAGAACCGAGAGCCCGTGCCGGCCTATCCTGGCACCCCAGCCCTCACCCCTGCTTCCGCTGACCTCGGGGCCACCGTATTGGCCACTCTCTATTGTGGGCTCGTCCAAAATGGTAATTCAACACGGAGCCTGTCAATCTCCCATCGCCCTCATGGTTCGCCGCCAGACAGGCAAGAGCCTGCCGCTGATGCATATCCATATTCCAAACTTCGTATAGCCAGAATTAGCCCCAGGCCATCCCCGGAGCCACATTATCATGTACCTTCTGTACCTCCTGTACCTGCTCTTTCTGCTTCCGAGCCTGTCCTCTCACAGGCGGACTCTCGAACAGGACGCAGAGAGGGCCCTGTCAACACGCCGCTGTAGCACTGCCTATTGGTACCAAGAGAGGGGTTGGTTGGGTCGCCCATCATCCAAGATGGAGGGGACCTCTAAGAGAACTTGGCCATTGGCGGGAACCTCTCAGAGCGTGAGAGGCGAGAGGAGGAAGGGCTAGCGATTCGGCTGGTCCGTTCCTGCAGAAGGGGCCCCATCTCTCATCACGAAATCGACGCCCTGCGGCCCTCGAGGGGTGGTCACCGCACTCTGTACCGCGCCGCGACTTGCCCGCCCAGACGACGAGA